GGCCATGCGAACGAGCTCCCATCGGTCAAGGCTCCTCGACATATCCTTGAGGAAAATGTTGTGTATCCATCCATCCGTCCGTCCCGCTATCTGAGGGCCCGGCTTGACCTCGTGCTGCTGGTTCGCCACTACCGAGGATGCCTTAAAAATCTAAAAATCGGCTGTGATTCTGTTGGGATCAGGATGACTGGGCAAGGGACAATGGAAATGATGGGATAAGATAAATTTGATGTTGGTAGAATATTCTGACCAATTTCACCTCATTCTGAATTGCTTTTTGAGGAAATGCATGGAAATGTCCCAAGTTTTTGAGTCATGTCTAACCCCCCAAACCTATTGGTTTGTCATATTATTCTGGGCGCCGTACCCCTTATTCTGGGCTTAAGATCCGCTGATTTCCTATTGTCACTCTTGGGTTTCCGGCATTGTTCGGATCCTTGTAGCTCACAAAGGCAATGCCCTTGTTGCCTGGGGGCACCTCAAGTCAGTTTGCGATGCATGTAAGAGTGACCCCAACAAATGGTCAGCTACCTTTCATGGCCTTCCAGGTATTTCTTGGGACAAAGCGCGGCATAGCTGTCCAAGTGCCCAAATATTGATATGTGTGGTTAAGGGATTGCCCTTCTGCTCAGGATTGACAAGTGGTGGGCTTTGTTGAATGGTTCCAGCACCGTCCAAGGGAACTCCTGGGGGAAAGCGTTCCTGAAAACATGAAATGAAGAAGCCAACCTGAAAAAAGCAGGGAATGGATAAGTGGAAATCTTATATAGATTTGTTTATTGTTTGCTTATTTATTTATGTGTTTATGTATGTATCTATTTACTCTTGTTGTGGATATATATATATATTATATTATATTATATTATATTATATTATATATATATATAGCTATATACATACGCGCACGTTCACCTTGAAATAATCCTTAGCACCTCTGACCAGAATTGGTGGGTTGCGTCCAAAGAAAGATCTTGTCTACGTATCTGCCAATGAGGCCAGTGGCAAATGGGATTTAACCGATATGACTCAAAATAATCCAAAATTGAGTACCCCAAAAAAAAATGCATGAACCTTCTGTATCCTATAGACTTGACGAAATTCTCTTGGTTGAGGCGGCTGTTTTGGATTCAAATTGTCTCCCAAACCAGGTCCCAGTTGTCCAGTGATGGCTCCAGCTACTCAGAATCAGTGAGATGAAGTTGGCTGACTTCTTCGGCAGGAAAATAATCTTCCAAATTCCAACCCCATGATTTCATGCTTCAGCGGCTCTGGGGAGCCCACATAGCAATCCGAGAGCTCACCAAATCTGCAAAAGTAAGCCTGCCACTCCCAAGGGCGAATTTTGAGAGGCTCGGGGCCAAGGCCAAACCATATTGCAATCATTGATGGTTATCATAGACTCTTGGTACCCAGTGATGATCTGATTAGGATGGTAGCCTACCAGGTAGCCGTAGTGATCGCTCACCAGCCACCTGGCACTGAAAAATCCCCAGTTGATGACCGTTCCTCCAAAAATCACTAAAAATCCCAGAAAAAATCCCACTGGTAAACTAACATAACTATGGAAAATCACCATTCTTAATGGGAAAATCCACTATAAATCACCATTTTCATGATTTCCCATTGCCTGTTTTGAAAAAACCATTGCTGGAACCTGGCTGACTAGTCCCTTGGCACCCCAAAACCGTCCAAGACCCCTTTTTCTGCAGGTCATCGCCAGCGAAGCCCACCGAAAAGGCACGAATAAGAGCACGATCTACAGCTGCCGAGGTTGGAAAACGATCATACTTGATGTGGCATGCCAGTGGATGTGGAGTTTTTGGCAGCAGCATGACCCAAACATGGCCATCCCCAGTGAAAGTCCATGCTAGTTTTGAAAAGGCATTAGAGGCATTTGTGGCGGCTCTCCAATTTGAAAATACATCTCGATCTGATCTTCATAAATGGTAGAAGGACTATGCCAAGGTTATTTTTCAAGGTTTTGACCCTGGTGAGCGTGAAACAATATCATTCAACTCGTTTGTCCACCAAAACTGGTATTGTTAAACTGGTGAGTGTGAAAGAATACCATTCAACTCGTTTGTTCACCTAACTGGTATTGTTTGGGCTCTCTGTCGCTGGTATCGCTGGTCCATCAACTGTCTCCACGACCAAAGCAGAGAAGTACTTCGACATTCACCCCTGAATACAGACATGGAACCTCAAACAATAGCTTTGAAAGATGTTTCCCTCGGGCTGCACAAGATAATTCCCAGTGACTTATCATTCAATGGATTGGTTTAAGGGAAAATCTACAGGAAACCATGGTTTTTACCATCAAATATAGGGCTTTCCTGTAAATTTTCCCATCATCCAATTCTATGAATCATTCACCAAGATGTTCCCCGTTTTGCATCAGGACTTCCATGGACTTCAGCCCCGCATCGCCCCGCATCGCCCCGCATCGCCCCGCTCTCACAGCTTGGAGCGTGCGGCCGAGCCGTTCACCTCCCGTTGCTGTTCTTGGCGCTCCACCTGGGGGGCGAGCGATGGAGTGTGGCCATGTTGAACCACCTAGATGTTTGATCCAGGGGCCCTCTCCAGCGGAAACGTATAAATATTTATTTATTTATTTGTTTATTTATTTATTTATTTGTTTACCTATTGTTATTTATATTTATATGTTTATTTTCATTTATCTATTTATTTATTTATTTATTCATTTATTTATTTATCTATGTTTATTTCCATATTTATGTTTATTTATTTGTGTGTGTGTGTCATATACTTTTTTTGTGTGTGCAGGTATGTATACATCTACATTCTATATAAACATATATAGATAGAAACAAATATTTATATATGTACACATTTACAAATATATGTATGTATATAAATATTATATATATGCGCCTTTGTGTGTGTGTGCATGCATGTGTTCCATGTAATGCAATGTAATGCAATGCAATGTAATGTAATGTAATGTCATTTAACGTGATGTCGTTTAATGTAATGTAATCTAATGTAATGTAACGCAATGCTGGCAATGCATTACAATGCAATGTATGCAAAGAAACATGCAGCATGCAGGGAGGTAGGGAGGCAGGCATCTATCTATCCATCTATCTATCCATCTATCTTCCTATCTATCTCTCTATCTCCCTCTCTCTCTCTCTCTTTATCGCTCTCTCTCTCTCTCTCTCTCTTTCTGTCTCTATCTACATACCTACCTACCTACCTATCTATCTATCTTTCGTTCTATCTATCTTTCTATCTATCCATCCATCCATCTATCCATCTATCCATCTATCCATCTAACCATCTATCCATCCATCTATCCATCTATCAATCAATCCATCTATCCATCTATCCATCTATCCATCTATCCATCTACCCACCTACCTACCTACCTACCTACCTATCTATCTATCTATCCAATGTATCTGTCTATCTGTAGATCTAATGCATCTATTTATCTATCCATCTATCCAATCTATCTAATCTATCTAATCTAGTCTAATCTAACCCAACCTAATCTAATCCAATCTAATATTATACTATCTATCTATTTATCCATCCATCCATCCATCCATCCATCCATCCATCCATCCATCCATCCATCCATCCATCTCTCTCTCTATATCTATCTCTCTCTATATCTCTCTCTCTCTCTCTCTCTCGCTCTCGCTCTCGCTCTCGCTCTCGCCCTCGCTCTCGCTCTCGCTCTCGCTCTCGCTCTATCTATCTATCGATCTATCGATCTATCGATCTATCGATCTATCGATCTATCGATCTATCGATCTATCGATCTATCGATCTATCGATCGATCTATCTATCTATCTATCGATCTATCTATCGATCTATCGATCGATCTATCGATCTATCGATCGATCGATCTATCGATCAATCGATCAATCGATCTATCGATCTATCGATCTATCGGTCTATCCCAGAGTACGCCTTATTGAAAAGATTCAATATAGTTATTGAAATTTGATCCATATATTGAAATGAAGGGTTTATTGAAAATTACAATATAGATATTGAAATTTATTTCAACAGAGGTAACATCAAAATTTCAACATACCATATTGAAAAAACAACAATATCATGTTGAAATTGATGTTGAAACATGTTTCAACATATGTGGAAAATGCTGTTTCAATAAGGTGAAATGGCTGTTCTCAATCTGTTGCAAATTGGCTGAGTTTCAAACTGCTTTCTTTTCAAATGGCCATGCAACAAACAGTGGCAGCAGAAGTTGGTCTCCCTGGAACCTAGCTTTTTGGCCCAAGCTCCTGAGTCGCCTTTTTTTAAGCCTTGAAAAAGGGCAGTGCCTTGAAAAGGGCATTGCCTTGAAGAAGGGCCATGGAGGAAGAGCAAAACATTGATGAAGCACAGCTGGATGTTTTAGACATGCTGATGAGACCCCCTCTTCCTGGGACCATGCAAGAGGCCATGGCCTACTGGGAGTACTTGGACTGCCAGACTGTGTCCTGTGATGCCTGGCTGTGGAGGAGGAACCTGGGCAAACCAGACTGGGGGATTAGGTGCTGGAAATGTGGAAGGGAATGGAGAAACACCTTCCAAAGAAGTGGGTCCTATTTTAAATATTGGAACCCAATAGACAAATGTCCAGCTAGGTGAAATTGCCTTGAAAAAGGGCATTGAAATTGCTTTGAAAAAAGGCATTGAAATTGCCTTGAAAAAGGGCTGTAAAATTGCCTTGAAAAAGGGCTGTAAAATTGCCTTGACAAAGGGCTGTAAAATTGCCTTGAAAAGGGCATAGATTGGAGACAGCTGCTGAAAAAGGGGAGAAAAGCTAGCAAGCTGACATGTAAGAACAGTGTGGCATTGAAACACAGCACTGGGCAGGGCAATTGGTGTGCAGTGTCAGGCTGTTTCCCTTGCATTTCCCTTGCAGTACAGGCTCAAGCTGAAACTTTGCTTCATTGTTTGATTTGCTGCAAAGGGCCAAACCTTGAAGAAAGGCAAAGCTCTGAAAAAGGGCATGGCCCTGATGAAACCAGTCAAGAAAAAAGGTGCAGGAAACCCACAGCCCAAGCTGAGAAAAAGTTTCCCTGAAGTTGACCAGGATGCTTTAGATGATGCCCTTGACAGCCACATCAGGCAGATTGGTGTGCAAGAAGCATTGAACCTGCTGGACTACGGGCATCTCCAGCCACAGCAGGCTGAGATCCCCAGAGCCATGTTCAAATTGCACCCTCTCCTCAAAGCATTGGTGCAAGTCAGCCCCAGTGCAGAAATCAGGTACAGGAATCTGAAACACAGTCTGACTGTGGCTGTCCACAAGTTTGGGGCTGAACTCTTGAACAAGTACTGGGAGGTGGAAGCAGCTTTGCTACCTGGGAGGGCTGCTGACAGCATACTTGTCCTCCTTAAACACTGGAGGAGGGTGACAGCCAGTCCAGCAGGTTGGGAAAGGTTTGGCACCAAACTTGACACAGCACAGTTCCAAGTGCTCACTGGTCTATACAAAAAAACTGGTAAAAAGGTTGGTGGGTCACCAGGCAAGAGGAAGCTGAAGAAAGAGGTGTCAGATGTTACAATGGCATCTGATGGCTTCCCTGCAATGTTGGCCACTTCTTCTGCATCAGAGGCAGAGGATGGTTCTGATGGTGAAGCTTCTGAAGCTTCTGAAGCTTCTGAAGCTTCTGCTGCACCCAGCAACTCTTTGCTTGGGTCTCCACCTCCTGTGACCAAAGCTATGTGGAGGGAAAAGGCTGGCAAGCCTGTGAGGAAAAGGCCTGCTGGGAAAGGAAGTAAAGAGAAGGACGGTGCCAAGAAAAAACCAGCAGCAGGAAAAAAACCAGCAGCAGAAGTGAAAAAGAAGCCAGGTGACACAGGCTTGGGGCCAGATACCCCAATTGCCCAGGAGACCCTGAGCATAGGTGGTGGCAAGAACCAGTCCTACATACAACACATGCCTTTTGGCCCAAACACTGTCAAGAAGCTTGTGGTCAGTGTGTCTTTGGCCCAAGCTGCCAAGCTCAAGGTTTCCCATAAGCAGCTGGTGGAGGAGCTCTTGCCTGCTTGCAAGCAGGCTGGTGCCACCAAGGCCTCAGTATTAGCTGCCAGGTTGAAACTGTTTCAAAAATATGAAAAGGCATGATGTGGATTGCCTTGCAAAGGGCTGTAGCCTTGAATAAAGGCAGTAGCCTTGCAAAAGGGCTGTGCAAGCACACACCAAAGCCTTGCACAAGGCAGTAGCCTTGTATAAGGGCTGTGCAAGCTGTAAATATTGTACATACAGCAGCACCACTCTTCTGCATACATGAGTGAAAAAAAGGTGCTGCAATACATGGCCAGGTGCTGCCAAGCCAAAAGCAACATGTTGTGTAAGCAAAACCAAGTACAACCTGAACAATGTTGCATATTCTGTTTCAATTTTGGGCTCAAGCTGCTAAAGCTGTAAGGCTTCCTTGGTTTGCAACAAGACCAAGGGCCAAACCTCGCGAAAGGGCACTTCAATTTGACTTGCCTTGAAAAGGGCATTCTGTCCTGCAGAAGGGCCAAGCCTTGTGTAAGGGCAGTGTATGGTATCATCCCCTTCCAGCCCTGACTACTCCAGGCCTTCACCACCTAAGTCACCCAGCAGAAGCAGGAGCAAAAGCAAGGCCCCAATGGCCAGAAACAGCTGGAGTGATGATGGGTGGGAAAAAGGGTGGCAAGATGGGTGGGAAGAGTGGGAGGGCTGGGGGGATGACAAGAAAGAAAAAGAATGGGCTTCCACATGGAAGACCAGAGGGAGGTGGGAAGAAGAAAAATGGGAAGATGGAGGGGAAAGGAGGTGGAGGAGGGATGAACATGGCAAAAGCCTGACTTCAGGCAGTGCCCATATGAGGCAAAGGCTGCAACTCCTGCAGGAGAAACAAGGGCTGCCAAAAAAACAAGGATGAGGAGTATGTCCAAAGACTGGCTGCTATGGGCCAAAGCAGGTTCAAAAGGATGATGGGGAGGAAGGAGAAACAAGAGAAAGCTGAGAGGGAGAAGCAAGAAGCTTTCCAACAAGGGGCAGCATACCAGCAGCAGCTGGTATGGCAACAGCAGCAGCAGTGGCAGCAACACCAATGGCCACAAGGGTGGTCACAGCAGTGGCCACAACAGTGGCCACAACAGTGGCCAGCACAAGGTGGCATTACACTCATGCTGTTTTTTGTTTTCAAATTTGCATGTGCACTTTTTTTGTGGCAGGTGGCTATGGGTATGGTACCAGCCAAGCAGCTGCATCCCAGCCTCCAAGCCCCAAAGGCCTGGCCATGAGAGTGTGCACAGTTCAGTTCATACTTCATACCTGTTTTTGTGCAATGCCCATTCAGTTCATGATTTTTTGGGCAGGTGCAGCACAGGCAAGTGAACCAAATGCTGCAGGACTGTCTGGTTTTCTCATTGCACCTTTTTTCAAATCCATGCTGTCCAATTTTCAGGTATACTTCCCATATTTCTCTGCCAGGACCACCCAGGGATCAGAGGAGTGGCCTTGGGAAAGGGCAAGCAAAAGGCCTTGGGAAAGGGCATGCAAAAGGCCTTGAAAAAGGGCAAACAAAAGGCCTTGAGAAAGGGCAGAACCAGCAAAGCAGCAGCACCAGCAGCTCCAACAGTGGGCAGTCCAGCCCTTCCCCACCACCAGGCAAAGGCAGGGGGGGTCCAAAAGGTGCCAAGCCTAAGAATAAAGGAAGGCCTGGGCCAAAGGCTGCACCTGAGGTGAAAGAGGAAGAGGGTAGCTGGGTTGAAGTAGCCAGAAAAGGCAATAGAAGAAAAAATTGAAAGCCTTGAAGAAGGGCTAAAGCCTTGAAGAAGGGCCAAAGCCTTGAGGAAGGGCCAGCCTTGGGTAAGGGCTTCTATTTTTTGAAAAAGTTTCAAAGGGACTTTGGGCCACCTCCTGCACTGTGAGCAGTTGAGAAAAAAGAGGTTGCTGGGGAGCTTGGGCATGAATAGCCCACTGATTGCTGAATGAAACATATATTGAAAAAATGAGCAGCCCAGTCATTACCCAAAAAAAAACAGTTCAAAGTGGAATCCAAAATTTTGAAAAGGTCTGCGTTGTTTTTTTCAAATCAAATCAGTTTGGCACAGGTTCCAAAATGACCACAAAAAGTGGATCCATCATATTGCATCATATGATGTCATATGATGGGTGGGGCCATCATATGATGGGCTTGGGCCATCATATGATGGGCTTGGGCCATCATATGATGGGTTGTGGCCATCATATGATGGGTGGTGCCATCATATTGCATCATATGATGTCATATGATGGGTGGCAGTTTTCTGGGTAGAAATGATTGGTGTCATTTTTTTTTTTGAAATCTGTAGCTTTCAAAAGCTCAAGGTTGAAACCTGCAATTTTCTTTGGCCTTGCCAAGGGCAACCTCTCAACCCAAAGCCTTGCAGAAGGGCAAAGGCAATGGGAAAGACAATGAAGGCCATGAAAGCTACCCCAAAAAAAACAAAGCAAACAGAGACCAGCCCTGCACAAGGGCAAAGCCCTGCAAAAGGGCAAAGCCTTGCAAAAGGGCCAGGCATTTTGAAAAGGCCCAGTTCCATTTTGAAATTACCAAAAAATGAGGCAGACCTGAGCCTGGAAGAAAAGATGGAAACCTTCCAAAAGAAAGCCAATGGAAATGTTCAGACTTTCCTTGACAGCCTCACCCCTGGCCAGAGAGAAGCCCTTTGGGGTCGCTTTAGCAGGGCAAGGGATGCCTTGAAGGATCCCAAAGCCACAGAGCTGTGGAACACCCACTGTAAGGGGAAGGGAAGTGAAGAGAAAAAAAACAGCTGCTGGCTGTGTTTTTGAAGAACAGGGGTGATCTGAAGAAGGCTGGCATCTACCACAAAGAGTTGGTTGCCTTGACCGAAGTTTCAGGCAGCTTGGCTGGCAGAACCCAAATTTCAATGGGTGTTCTGAGTGCCATCACTCCTGCTGCTTGCTTGTGACTTGTGAGTGTGTTTCTCTGAGGCAGCAGGGAAACAGAGGAATGGGTGCCATTCCAAGCCATACTGACAAGGTTTGGATTACAGGAAGCCATGAGGAGAGCACCCTGGCAGCAATATGCATTGCACATCTTGCACTCAACCCCCTGACTTGGAATGCCAACCTTTGCTGGCATATGGTGAGGTGAACAGGGGGTCCATCAGGGTCAGAAAAGACCCAAAGGACCAACAAGAGTGGCAGTTCTGCCTGGAGACAGCAATTGTCTACAGTGACAAGCAGTCCAAGCATGAGATGAACTTGGAGGCTGCCACCAAACTGGAAGCCATCCAATGGATGGAAGCCAGAAAGGCTGGCACCATGTTGAGCCCTGAGGAAGGGCTGGCAGCAAATGCCTTGAATGATGTCCTCCCCACCAGTGCCAAAAAAAAGGCTAAAGAGCTTGCAGCTATCAAAGACAAAGAGTCAGATGAAGAAGGTGATGCAGAAGATGAGGAAGAAGATAGCAAACAAAAGCTCAATGCAGCTGCAAAGGAAGCTGACCTCCTGTCAGACATGGGGGGGAGCAAAAGCAAAGAGCTCACAGCCAAGAGAATCTTGAAGATGCTCAAGCTGGTCAAGCAAATCAATGCTGGCCTTGCAAAGGGCAGCTCAGGGAGCAAGGCAGCAAAGCACCAGAAGGAACTGCAGAGTTGCCAAGTTGAGTTGCAAAAACTTAGCAAGCAGGGGCAGAAGGTCAAGCTGGAAGTTGCCAAGGACACTCTCTGTGAAGCAGCACTGGCTGTAAAGAGAGCAGAAAAGGCTGTGGAAAAGAAATGAATCCTGAAAGAATGCAAAGGCCTTGAAGAAGGGCAAAAGCCTTGCAAAAGGGCTATGCATTGAAAAACTTTGGGCAGCACAGAAACTGTTTGCTTGAGAAGTTGGGAAAAATGGTTTTCTGCTTGTGGGGAAGGGTTGAAGAACAAAAGCAGGCAAGACTGCCCCTGTGGCACTCAAATCAGTTTCCCCATGGTGTTTTAAAGCTGTTTGGCTCAACTCTTCTGAATGGCTGGCCTTGAAAAAGGGCCATTCTGGCCTTGAAGAAGGGCTATTCTTGCCTTGAAAAAGGGCAAAGCTGTGTGAAAAAGCAATGGCCAACCAAAGAGAAAAATGGAAAAGGAAAAAAACGAGAGCAGGCCAGCAGCTCTACCATGTTGTGCCAAGAGTTTTCACCCTGGGTCTTGCCTGCTGGAGCACTTTGCAAATGGCATGTCAGCTCCTTGCCAAAGTTTATTCAAAAGTTGTCTGGCTGAAGGACCAATGTGATTGCATGTGCTGTTTGTTTTTTGCCAGTGGCTGCACTGAGGGGCCTTCCATCCAAGCACTTGCTTTGGCTGCAAGCAAGTCAGGGGCATCCACCAGTGATATCCAGGAGCTTGCATCCCTTGGCAACCATGGCCAGAATCCCAACCACATTGCCCACCAATTGCAATCCAAGTACTGTGAAAGCACTGACATAGACTTGCCCATGCCCTACTTTGTGGAGACCCCTGTGCAGCTCAGAAAAGCAGATGGCCTGTATGTGGCACAGAAGAAAATAGGGATGTTCTTACCACATGAGTGGTTTTATTGGCTTTGTGGCCAAGACCAAGCTATGTCAGGGTTGCAAAATGTTGAAGAGTTCTGGAAAGAACACAGCCCAAAAGACCCACAGCTGAAGAACAACATTATCAAAGAGACTCAGCAGCATAGAGTGCCATTTGTCACTGCCACCTTTGCATCCAAATCCAAAAAGGCAACCTTTTCCTCTGTGGTTTACATGCATTGGCTAAGGAGCACAGACATAAGTGCTTGCCCTGTGGCTTACATGGAGATGGGAGCCAATTCCAGCGAAATGATAGCATCAATGTGATCAGCATGAGGAGCCTGCTATCCAGCCTCAATGTTGCTTCAAGCCAGCTCTTGCTACTGGCTTTGCCAAAGGGTGCCATCAACAAGAGCCCTGATGATGCAGCATTTGACACCATGAAGGTCCTTTGGCAAGTACTCCAATGGTCTTGGGAAGCTGCTTTCTACAACAAGTTTCCTGAATTTGACCATGCAGGGAACCCTTGGCCAGCAAAGTCTTGGAGACAGCAAATGGCTGGTCAACCTTTGAGCAGAGAAGGCTTCAGAGCTTGCATCTGGGCAGTGCAGGCAGATGGTGAGTACCTCCAGAATGAGTTCCAGCTGAAAGGTGCATCACATGAGGAGATGTGCTTCAATTGCTCAGCAAACAAAAGCACTCTCCCCTATAATGACTTCAGGCCCACTGCAGCTTGGAGGGCTACAGTGGTGGAGCATGCAGGGACATGTCCTACAGATCATGTGATCAGCACCATTCCAGGTGTGGTTGGTGAAAGCTTCAAATATGACACCCTACATGTGCTAGAGGAAGGCCTCACAGCACATGTGCTGGCCAATGTCCTCTTTGACCTGGTTGTGAAGCCAGGCCTGCCAGGAACACAGAATGAGAGACTGACCTACCTCTTTAGGAAAATCTGCGCCCTCTACCAAGAGCAAGGCATTGAGGCCAGTGACAGGATCAGGAAGCTGACACTCTCTACTTTCTGTTCTCCAAAGAGCAAGCATGATCAGTTTCCTACTTTGACAGGGGTGAAGGCTAGACACTGCAGGTGGCTGGTACCTGTGCTGGAAGAGATATGCTTGGAATTCCAGCGTACAGAGGACAAGTACAGTGTACATCGGTTTCAAACTGTCAAGCACCTCAACCAGCTCTACACAATCATGGACTGCAGTGGCATGCATCCCACAGGGGAAGAAGCAACTTCTTTCAAAAAAAGCATGAACCTTTGCCTCCTACACTACTCCAGGCTGTCAGTGTTGAGCATCCAGCAAGGAATTCTACAATGGAATGTGACCCCCAAGTTCCACTTGTGTGAGCACTTAGCAAGTGTCTTTCAGCGGTTCAATCCTAAATTTTATGCAAAAAGTTATGCTGGTGAAACAATGGTGGGCCACCTATCAGCCCTTGCTCATTCCTGCCTGAGTGGCACTGCCCCCTACCAGGTGGCCAGTAAGGTCACTTGGAGATACAGGTTAGCTCTTCACCTGAGGATCCAAGGAGCTGATTTTTCATGGCAAGATATAGAAAGTGATTAACATTGGGAAATGCCTTGGAAAAGGCTGCCCTGAGAAAGGGCTGCCCTGAAAAGGGGCCATGCCCTGCAAAAGGGCCTGAAATCTTGGCAAGATGTATATAGTTTTGTACAAAGTTTCACAAGTAGCAGAGCAAGCAAAGATGAGCAAAAAATGCATTGGATGAACCAAGTTGGAAAGGTTTCAACACAGAACCATGTTGAAAAATACAACACAGCTCTGTTGAAAAATACAATAGAAAATGCACCCCTGTTTCAATAGGGAATCCAGGGAAAATTTCAATATATATTGAAATTAGACCTCCATGTTGAAACTGTCGATCATTATTGAATCTTTTCAATAAGGCGTACTCTGGGATCGGTCTACCGATCTATCGATCTATCGATCGATCTATCGATCTATCGATCGATCGATGGATCGATCGATCGATCGATCTATCGATCTATCGATCTATCGATCTATCGATCTATCGATCTATCGGTCTATCGATCTATCGATCTATCGATCTATCGATCTATCGATCTATCGATCTATCGATCTATCGATCTATCGGTCTATCGATCTATCGATCTATCGATCTATCTATCTATCTATCTATGCGTGTGTGTAGATGATTCCCAAATGAGCCATGCTGGAAACCTTGATAGATTCTTAGGTCGTAAGAACATGCTTACGCACATGCTTGCGCATCCTTACGCTATTGGGGGTTTCTCTTACGCGGGGATCTGGGCTTTCTATGGGCTTACGCAAGGCTTGCGCGAAAGTAAGTCACCACAAAATCATCTTTTTTCGTGAAACATTCCTTACGCGGCCTTTTTTGCAACAGAGTATTTCAGTGCGTCATTCATCATTTGTCGAATCCGAAGATGAAGATGTTGAAGAAGAGGATGTTGAGGACGAGCCTGAACCGTCAGCTTTCAATGTTGCCTGTTGCCGTCGACGCTTTCGAGCCTGCTTGCTGAGAGTTCGGGCCTTGGCTGATAGTTTTTCTTCCAGTGATCTTTTTGGCGCTGGCATGGCATGGCATTTGAAAGACTTTGGAAGATGGACACCACTTGCGCGAGGATGCGGCTGCGCTGTTTCCATTGCAATTGCGAAAAAGGGCGGCGTTTCGGGGCCATGGGGCAACTGTTCAGATAAAGCAGGTGGGCCTTACGCGTTCCTTACGCATACCTTACGCGTTCCTTACGCGAAAAAACACAATCTTTTTTCAAAATTGGGAACCACCAATTAAGGCACATGGAAAAACATGCATATATCATATATCTGTATATATCTGTACATTAATTATCTGTTGTAAGCTTGTGTGTGCAATTCCAGTTGTTTCTTTTTTACAGCAGGTTTTTACAGCTCGGTTTCCCTTCCATTTGACTGTCATCAACGTGACCAAGCATATTGACCCTCATGTTTCTTTCATTCTTTAGCCAAAAGGTGCTTTTCAAGCATGCCTTACGCAGGCTTACGCACAACATTCAAAGCCAAAAACCTTGCGCAGCTCTTACGCCACTGCAGTTTTGGCTTACGCGAAGCCACCTTATGACCGTCCCCTTACTCACCAATACATAAAGAGTTTATAGCGCAGCTCAAATGGTGGATCAACCAATGGGAAGGCAAAAATCCGCCTCAGAAAATGCGGGATGAAAGGATTACAAAAGGCCAGAATTTCATCTTGCTTCCTCATCCAGTGATCCTGCTGCCCAGAGTGATGATTCCAACCGGCAAATGTACTGGCAGCAGGATTCCCATACCAGCGTTTTCACTGGGTGCATGTTTTTGACACACTAAAGCCTTTGGTTGCAAACTATATTGATTCCTCCGTTGCTAGTGAACGGATGCTCATCAAGTCCGGCTACAATCAACTGATCTTCATTGCAAAAGCAAGGGTGGATTCTGCACATTCCAACATTCTGAACGAAAGCACCTTCAATCATAAAACATCATAAAACTATCTTGCTGAATCTGCTTGACAAACAAAGCAAACATCATCAACCGGATCAACCTCCCAACTTCAGATTCTCCTAGGTCTCATTGGATCGTGTCACATGTTCTTACATTCCAGGATTGTTTTAGAACAAAATAAAGCTAATCCCACAATCTGTCCAAACTTCACCCTCGGTTTTGACACACAGGTCTCTCCAAAAATGATGTGCCCCACTCCAATGGTCTAGAAACCTCGTGTTCAAGCTCTAGAATTGATTCAAAACATCACCATGTCTGAATTGGGAAGTTCCCTCATAATTTTCCCATGATTTCCTGAAGATTTTGGTGTAAATCCTGTTTTGATTGGATCCACACCATCCATCGGCCACCTCTTCCTCCGCCTCCTTTTGGAGTTGATCCAGGCGACGAAGGGCGTGGCGTTTCCTGGTCGAATCCATGGATTGGGAGGTTGGATGATGGATGGGTCAATGGATGGGTCTAAAATCTGGTAGACCATGGGAGTTTCCATGGGAAATTTGATGAATTTTGGTGGAAGATGGAACTTCTTGATCTATTTTTACGCACACGCCGCACACGCTTTGCCTGACATACCTTCCTTAAAGAGCTTGCCTTGGGGGTATCCGAGTATCCTGACTCCGGATGATTTTAAGTGCCATCAAGGGACCGCGCCAGCATACCTGAGATGGGCGAGCCCAATGGGCCCTGGATTCCCCAGTGGTGCCGCAGAACCAGGACAAGACCAAGATGAGCTGCGTGCTTGAGAGAAAAACATGGGACAACCCTTACAGAAGCATTCCGTGCCATCAACTCACCAAAAAAAACAGGCTGGGAAATGCCCGTCGAAATGTCTGGGCATAAAGCACTTGGCTTCACTGCGCAGAAACAAATCGAACTAAGCCGGGCCTATGCACTGAAAACGGATCATTCTCCGCACTTGAACACTGTGCGGCTGTTTCAATATGTCTGATATACTGATATACGTACAGTATTCCTTGTTGAACTCTTCATCCTCGAAACTCGGGGGGGCCTCCACACAGCTTTGCCCTCTCAACAATGGATCAACCCCCAAAAAGACCAGCGGCTTACAGTAATACAGCAAAATATATCAGTGATATCAGTATCTAAAGTTCTCCCCGAACAGGAACTACGATCCGCACTGGTTTCCTCAGTGAAATCCAGAAAAAAGACAGCCCAGCATTAACAAACGGAGAGACCAAAACAAAAACAAGAAAAAGGAGAAGTCCTCAAAAAAAAAAATCTCTGAAATTGTATGGCTTTTCCCAAGCCATGGTAGTTTTCATGTGATCTCCATCTGTCGAAGCCCGAGGCACGGCTCGGGAGTTCCAAGGTTTCAGTCTCCAGGCGCCAGAGGCCTTGCTCCTCCTCGTTGGCCGCAGAGAAGCGCAGCTCCTCGCTGCCCGATGGCCGTCCCCGGCTGCGAGTGGATTTTTTTTTAGATGTTCTTTTTTCTCGGGAAGTATCATGAAGTATCTAAAATATCTATTAACTGTCTCAAGTTCATGAGTTCTTGGTGCTTCTTCGATGCTTTTGATTCTTTTTGCTTAGATTGGTTGATGAGTATAGTTAGGTAGTCAGTGGAATTAGGATATGTTTCTTATCTGATATCCTTTCATAAGATGCTCTCCATGATTTTCCCTGCATTCATCTATTCAATCGCCGCCTCATTGGTCCTCATTGGGCCATTAAAAAATCAGCCAGCCATTTCCACAACATGTAAACAATATGCGAACTGTAAACTCTGACAGGTCCTCCGTCAATCTCTTTAACGCCTGCTCTGCAGGGAGAACCTTCAGGTTCTCTAGATATGTACCTCAGCCGTTGGTTGAGCCCGTTCCACCCATCACCCCCACCAGCCCCATGGCGCACAGATCGGAGTCAACAGTGTCACCGGCAAAATGAAGTTCACGTGTGGCATCACAGATCCATCCTGTCAGTTTAACTGATGCGAAATGTCAGTTGGACGAAAACTTCGAAAACTCATACAATTCTGCACAATCAATCGGCCACACATCTCTTCCAAGAATAAAAGGCTGTCTGACCATCCCACCCCTCAGTACACAGGGCCTGTTGCTTCACATTGGTGGTGACCATGCCAAGCAACCTCAAGAGATGGCAATATTGGCTGAAATCCTCACATTTCTAGGATGGCTGGGCAAACTTACTCGAATCCCATCATCTGGAGGCAAAAAATGGCATCAGCCATGTTTGGGATGGCAAACGTTGCATGTGGCATTGATCTTGGTGGCTGGGCCTCAGGGTCAACCTGGATTGACATGTTCAAATGCAAACATGAACTTTCAGGTACAAACAGCTGAAAACAATGCTTTGCCAATTCGGCATGGAGCCCCAACAAACATAACAAGCTGGATCAAAGACGAGAGCCCTTAACACTTAATCTTACCATTCGGTGTTTGGATAAGTGGAATAACTTGCGTTCCACAATCATGTCTTTGTTTCAAAATGTGTCAAATCAATCCGCGAGAATGAAGGTTTAGCTTGAGCTTTATCCATCTATATCCCATGATTTCTACGAAACCCCCACCTCCCGACACCTCAACCCCCCAACCCCTCCATCAGGTCACCTTCCCTGCGCCACCAACGCCCCACCGCTGCACCCGCGATGCACCGCCGCACTGCTCTGAAGCACCGCCGCGCGGCGGCCGCCGTCCAGACGGCAGCTGTAGGCGATCTTGCAAAGCTGGCCTGGGCTGCCCGGAAAGCATTTTTCTTGGGAAAGCATCAAAAAATGATGGAAAGATGGAAATGGTGAAGATGAAAATCCATCGGACCATGGATGAGAATATGGTGAAGATGGAAAATGATGATTTAAGCCGCGGAGGAGTGGGAGTGAAGGATCACAAGCATTGGGATGACGGCTATCCAAAATGGCAATGTGTTTGTCAGCAAAAGAGATTTCATCATGAAAATGTGCGATTTGACTGACCATCAGAAATGGATAGAAATGAGCATCTTACAATCAGAGATTTTGGGATGTGGCTACGTGTATGTAAATCACTGGTGTCCACGTAAAATATCACTGTGTCGTTATATACATCTTTATTCATGCTGCTTGCCCTCTGGTTATTTAACAGTTCGCCATGGAAAATGGCCCATTTATAGATGGTTTACCTATTCAAAATGGTGATTTTCCATGGCTATGTTAGTCATAACCAGATGGTAAATCCCAATTTGCAAGTTACGTCCTGGACGAAAGATGGGGGTCTCATCGGTCTCATCGGTCTCATCATCTCCGAGGCACCAGTGGTCACGGCAGGGCCCTGCCAAGGACAACCAGGACCAAAGAGGCCATAGCCCACTGCGGAGACCTGCAAGAAGCGACACTGGAAATGTCTAATGTCAACCCCGGATTAATAAACCATGGTTTATTAATTAAGGGGGTACTCCTCCAATAGACTAGGGGTTTATTAATCCAGGGTTGACATTACTCATCAATCAAACTCACTCATGAGGCCTCCAGATCTATCCAACCTAGACACTGGAATCACTGGAAAATCCCACTAAAATAATAACAGGGAAATCATCTGTAAAACTGGCTAGAAAAATGATGTGCATTGTCCGCACCTCAATGCCTTGGACCAGCTCCTCGGCCGTAGCACGCCGCTGCCAGAGCGAGGGGTTGAACAAAGGGGGCACACCATGCCTGGCCATGGCACAGGCGCCAACAGGAGGTTGACCTTTTAGTCTTCATGATACATACATTTATATATAGGACTATATATATATCTCTCTCTCTCTCTCTCTCCATATCTATATATCTCATTATATCTCTATATCTATATACAGTATCATACAGTATCTACATCTACATCTATATCAATATAAGTCCACATGTTTTTCAGCAGATCCCGAATGGTTGCCGATCAAATTTCTACATTTGCCAGTGTTTATACTTTTTGAATTCCCCAAATCCAGGATTTTGACAGTTCTGGCTTGGATACTTGCCGCCTCATGGGTCGCGCCAGGAGCAAAGCTGCGTCCAAACATCCCTCGAAGATTTGCAGCACATCAGCTTCCTGGCAGTAAAAATCTGGATCTGGATCTAGGACTCTGTCATTGGATGTCAAGGACACAGCAAAACATTCCCCGAATCAAAAGGCGCACACTGCGCACACGGCTGATGCACTTCTGAAGTGTTTGTGGCTTTGTAACCCCAGTTTCCTCAGCCACTAAGGCAGCCCCAGCCCCAGTTTTTTGATCGCCTGAAGTCATTTGGATAATTACCCGGTTGGGTTTGGATCCGCCCTGGATTCTGATTCTGGAGACACGACCAAGGAGCACCCACCACCCTCCCGTAATCCCGTCAAGAGGCAAAGGTCGTTGACACAATTTTTCCCTGGCAACTGCAAGAGCAAGACATGGAGAAGGATTGGTGCTTGCAAGCTAGCGATTCCAATTGGGTGTTCCCTTTCACATTCAAGCCAATTGCTGCGTGCCGGTTGAAAAGGTGGCTAAGCTGATCTAAACTTATCAAGTCTGGTGGTGGTTGTGAATTTCTGTATGGGTCAAAATCCTGGCAACTTGGTGAACACAAGGATAGCTGAGAAATGGAAGTTCATTGGTCTCTTCCACCCTTTCCCAAGATATATCCAATGATTGGTGCTTGAATGCTTGAACACCAGTGGAAAATAATCATGTTGCTGGGTCAATTCCCGTTTGTTGGGTTCAACCCCCCTATTGATTGATGGTTGTCTCCCCATCTATATAATGATTGTGAAATGCCCTATCAATAGTTGAATCCCCGCGTGTACCCTCTGCCTAGCAAACATGGATGCAGAAGCCACAGGATGCTGGAAGGTTTATCTGTTGGAGAGGAAATCCCATTGAAAATCCCCTCTTGAATCTATTACAGTGGATGGAAGAAATCCTGCACCACCTTGAATGGTTGAAACCCTATAAATAATGGGATAAACAGCCTATCAACTGGTGCAGGATTTCGCAACCATCCACAGTAGTATAAATGCTTAAGTTGGTGAAATCTTCCCAATAAAACCCGTGGAAATCCATGGCATCGCCTCCTGTGACAGGTAGCATCTGCCCCTGCACTGCCGTGCTGTGGAGCGGCCAGACACTTGCTGCCCCTCCTGTCGAAGGGTGGAGCCGGCACCCAGTTAGACTACCCTCTGGTTATGTCAAAAAAGCTATGGAAAATCACCATTTTTAATGGGAAAATCCACTATAAATGGCCATGTTCAATAGCTATGTTAGTTTATGTTAGTTTACCAGAGGGTAATTATATCCCTGGCTTATCATCCACATACAGTGACCTATACTGACCCTACAGGCCCTACAGTACTGACTGGGATGCACAGGGGAGGCCAAGACGGCCAAGACCAGATCCCCTTTGAAAACTTCCCCTGAGAAGGTTCCATTCGCCCATCCGGCACTCCATCCACGACACAGAAGTCAGCAAATGGGCACAAGTCAAAAGGTGCCCCTGCTCGCTGAGGACAATGGCACTGGCCCAACTGCCGCTGTCCAGCCACAGCAGGGCCACCCCTTGTCTCACCTCACAGCCAACCCAGAAAAATCAAGGGATCGGGCCGGTTGAAAAGTGCCATTATTTATATACCATCAGTTATACCTGTTGGTTGTTTGGGGGTCGTCTCTTTATGCTGCAACCAGTGGTTGCTTGGACCTGGAACCCATGTCCCAGTCTGCACCTCACAAGGTGGGGAGGCTTCAAACGCGCAGGGCACGGGCAGCGCAGCTAGTTCTTCCTTCAGCTCTTCTCGACCTCGGTTTTCACTATTGGCTCTATTCTATTCCTTACAAATGAAAAATTGGAAGATTGGAAGTATTTGGAAGGGTACCGTCGGTATCGCCCAGAGAGTCATACAAGATCATGTGTCCATTCTTGGTTGCCATTCATGATGCTACTACCTACCCCATGAATGCCCCAGCGACAAGAAAGGCCAGGTTACAGGCATCGTTGTCCAGCAAGGTATCCAAGATCATCGACATGGGAATGGCCAGACTCAGCGCCACGGATTCTCCTGAAAGCTCGACGCAATGATTCTGCAGCTTGCCTTCAGGATCCTTCAGGGATCCTACAACCTTCATCAAGCACCCAAACAAAAATGGGCGATTTGAAAAGCCTCTCTGCCCTGTAAACCTCGTCGTCGTCTTCTTCTTCTTCTCCTTCTTCATCATCATCATCATCATCATCTTCATCCTCATCTTCATCCTCATCATCCTCGTCCTCATCCTCATCCTCATCCTCGTCCTCATCCCTTGATGTATGGATAGTTCCTGTTTCACATTTCCTTCATGGCTTTGCCGTCATGGCTTCTCGCATCCACGGAGTTCCTGGATGCTCAGAACCCAGTCCTGAAGAGCTTCGGAGGGAGGGGGCCATCAAAGCTATGACCTGCAGGGACAGCGCAGCAGCACTTTAGAGGTGTGCCTGACCAGACTTCCCTGTGCTGCACAGCATAGATAGATAGACAGATAGATAGCTATATGTATATATATATATATAGCTAGATTACTTTACACTTTTCTAGGTAGATTTATTTATCTATCCTTATCTCAATTTTCCCACCGTCTGTTTATTATGTTTATTTCAATCTTAAGATTTTTAAATATATAGATTGATTTACCCTCTGGTAATTTAACATAGCTATTGAAAATGGCCATTTATAGTGAGTTTTCCCATTAAAAATTGTGATTTTCCATAGTTATGTTAGTTTACCAGATGGTATATTGATTTATAAATCTGGGCCCACTGATTTTCCATCCATCTCCCACCTCGTTGCTGCTCTGCAGCACCACGGCAGCTCCGGCACAGCTCTCAGCCGCATGGACGTCGCTCATGAGAAGCCCCGGAGGGCAGGAGAGGTTGGAAACGACGCCTCGTTTCAACCGTTACCGCTCCACCAATGGAATTTTCAGGGGATATCAATGGGGGATATCAATGATATCTTCATGGAATATTCATGGAATATTGATGGGATATGCGTGGAATATAGCACCGATATAGAAAAAACGCGAGTTGATCTCCGTGAGTATTATAGAAACAGACTGGGGTCACGGTCCCAACCCTTTGATGCGATACACCCCTTTAGCTTTCTTTTTGGTTGAATTTGTTGCAAAAATATGGCTGCGTCCGTGGTTTCCTGTTTCCGGAGCTGGGATTTTCAACTCTTGTACAGCGCTTTCGTTGTCACTGGATGCATTTTGTCAAAGAAGCCTTTTCGGATTTATGCCCTGAGATTTCTTCTTCCAAAACAGGTGGCCAGTTCGGCTTAGCTCGTTTGAAGGCTGTTGGCATTCACCTCAATTCTGGTTGCAAGACAGCGTTGTGGACTATCCTGATTCAAGCTAGTTTGTGTGACCGCATGTCCACTAGGGCTTGGAAACCTCATTGGAATCTGATTTTGACTGGGGGGGAGTGAGGTGTGCGTCTTGTGATGTGCCTGCAAGGCTTTTCACTGTTTGCAAAAAATATAGCAGACTCAATATGAATGGGGATATATACTATGATATGCCCAAGGAAAAACATACAAAACGATGTGGAAAACTGGTTTCCCTTGGAAAACAATCTAATCATATACATTCATTTAGTGCTTTTTTTTCAAATCTATGTCAGTTTACAGAAGGGTAAGCCATTTTTAAAGGAGGCTTCTCTGATCGCATTTTGTTAAGCGAAAAATAAGTTGATGCATCATCTCACTAGGGAGAGCGATGAATGATTCACATATTAGTGTGGCATATGAGATTTAACATAGCTATGGAAAATCACCATTTTTAATGGGAAAACTCACTATAATAATAGGTTTTGACCCACCCCCAACTTTCAAAAAACACAACCAGGGTTTGTCTGAAAATGTTGGGTTAATCTTCCCAATGAAATAGCCATTTAAAAACGGGAGAATGATCAGCAAAACCATTGGGTAAAAAGGGGTACACTATTTTCAGACACACCCATATGAGAACATTACCTGGCAAGAGGGATGTAGAAGCGGTATCAACCAAGAATCGGGAACATTCATGCGTTCGCTGGTATATGATCATTGACTTATGTACTCAAATCGGATGAATCTTGTAAAGACAAGCTTGGCCAACGAACATTTGGGGCATACAACCACCAATTGGTATACAGTGGTGCATATAGTTCTTTATATATTCATTAATTTATAGATTTTATGTGTACTTATTCATCTATATGTATATCATAATATCTATTTATTGATTTAACCGATGGCAACCAATAGTCAGGAAGCCGTTCTAATAACCCTAGGTGGGAAACCCCCCAATAGGAGGGAAAAAAATCTCAACTGACTGGGATCACATCTCACAACTGCCGTTGCGGGTCAAAGATTTGTATCCCCTGCCAGACCTTCAACCCCACTATACCCCACTGAAAATTGGCCTGCGCAAACGCTGTTGCCGTACAGATATGCGAGCACGATCAGATTACCCTATCTGAGAAATCTGGAATCCCACAGAATCCCACCAATTCCACCAGCATAAACCCTTCTATTCCACCAAATATCCACCAAATATCGTCCAAATATCATAGGTTCATCACCCCAGCGCCTTGCATCACCACGCGCGCGAAGCGTGCCCAGGTGGTCGCCCCCGGTGCATCCACCCGGGCACCGAAGGGCGCAGCATGCAGCGCCACCCGTTGACCGATCCATGAAGCACAGCAGTCGCGGAAGGAGACGCGCAGGGTCCCGGAATGGCCTTGGGCCTCCGGGAGGGGATCCACCGACTGGCCCTGGGAACTGTTTCGAACTTCACTGACCAAAATACAGCAAAATATAGCAAAATATAGCAAAAGATGTTCTGCACATTCATTTATCCAATTTCTTAAACGACTGGATGATCAATCTCTCCGGAGTCAGGAGTCACATTCCAAAAATGAGGTGAATCGTCGTAATCATCAGTGTATCACCGTTCTAATGATTTACCCCCTGGTAAACGTTTACATAACTATGGAAAACCACCATTTTTCATGGGAAAATCCACTATTTCTATGGCCATTTTCAATAGCTATTTTGACAATTACCAGAGGGTACCAGTTGCAGGACTCTGTGAGGAATTCTCTGCCTTGGTTGAACCCAATGCAGTGCCTGGCGCGTCTCCAAGCCCTCCAGACGAAGCTTGGGCCGAAGGAGCAGCAGCTGCAACCTCCAGCTGTCACACTGCTGTCCCGGTATAGTGAGATAATATAGAGATATAGATCTGGTTATGGGTCAAAACCCTCAAAATAGCCGGTGAATGGATGTTTGTTCTCCAAATATGATAATTTATGATAATTTCATAGGCTTTGAGCCATCCCCATCTGAGTATATAATGTTAGTGATGCTGTATGATGATATCAAATATAGACATATTAGCACATCTTCATCCGCCAAAAAAGTCCCAATGTATCCTGCCACCGGCCGCTGGTTTCACCCACCTACAGCTCATGGAAGGCTCCAGAAAGGACCCTCCGCTGCCACAACACCAACCGCGTGAAGCTAAGCTGCTGAAAGCCTCCCCGCCGCATCGCCGGCTGTTGAGTATTGGTTTCCCTAGTGGTGGGATCCCAAAAACGTCTTGAGGGCTGCCTATTTCCCAGGCCCAGACTGTTGATTTGACTTTTGAAGATGGATCAATTTCCCCAAAATCAAGACTGAAATGTGTGGTCCGATGCCTGGAAACAAACACAAATGGTGGATTGTCAGCACGTCATGTAGAATTGGGGCACAAAATAGTCCCAAGATTTCAAGACTCCATGTATGGTCGATCACATACCGAAAAAAAAAAGATATCGACGGACCTTCTCTTGTCCAAGCCTGAAGTGTTTGGGTTTTGAGTTTTGAGATCTCATTTCAAATGTTGGGGCCACTACATAATATCCCCCGATTTTGCTTGTCCTGGTACATCAGTCAAAAACTGGTGTATTCAGCCCAGAATGGGTTGGTTCATATTAAGAATCTCCAACACTTGTGGTCCCAGAGGTCTTAAATTTCAAGTCATAACCCAGAGAAGGTTTGGGAAGCGGAGGATTTCGCTATTAAAAATAACCTGCTAGGGGATTTTAAGTGATGTACTCTTCATGTCCACAATCTTTCAACAACCCGCGCATGTTAGAATTCCGTTCGGATAACAGTTTTGCAACCCAAAGGGTTTAAGCAAAAACAAAAATGCCACCGCTCGAAGCATTCGTTTAAACCAAAAACCCAGAGGGAAACGTTTGAATGTAAAGTTTCAGTATCTGGCTTTAGAGTTTTCCCCTTTCACATTTTACCACTAATTTTGATTAACAGTTTGTTAGTGATGGTTCCATTGAACTTCTAAACCCTAATTATTGGCGTTATTTTTATAATAAATTATGATTGATCAATTGATTCAACGCAAACCGGCAAACTCTTACTCAAACTTCATGAACTTGAATTATCTTAATTATCATTGCTTAGTTGAAGTCTTAATTCCATATGGGTGTGTCTGAAAATAGTGTACCCCTTTTTACCCAATGGTTTTGCTGATCATTCTCCCTATTAAATGGCTATTTCATTGGGAATATACCCTATTTTCAGACAAACCCTGGTTGTGTTTTTTGAAAGTTGGGGGTGGGTCAAAACCTATTATTATAGTGAGTTTTCCCATTAAAAATGGTGATTTTCCATAGCTATGTTAAATTACCAGAGGGTAATCACGACTTGATTCGAAGTTCATCCGCCTCAGTGGATCGTTCCACCGTGACGTTGGCCACCACCTGAGCCTCCAGCACCCGGCCCTGTAAGGCCACCGCCACGGCGTGGTTGGGCGGCACGGGGCAGGTGCTCAAAATCCACGGCGCCGCAGTGTCCGCACCGAAAGCGAGGCCGGTGGCGTAGGTCACCGTGCCGATCCTCGGTGGCCTTTGGGCTGGGGAAGAGGGGTCAGTTCATAAAATATGGAGAATCAATGGATTGGGATAGGCGAAAATTTACAGGAAAGCCCCATATTTAATGGGAAAATCTATGGTTTCCTGTAGATTTTCCCTTAAACCAATCCATTGAGAGAAAGATGAGGAAGTTCTCATGGGAAGTATCAGTTGTTCCCAGGCTGAAGGGAACGTTCTCAGCCTAAAATTGATGGCAAAAGCTCTGTGATCGGTTGACGTGGCGGATTTGGAGTTGAAGAACCGAAATCAAGAGAACTGATAGATGTGGATTGGACGATTTAGGATGTTTGTAAATGTTGTGACGCAGAAAGCCACTGAAGAACTGGGATATCTTGGTTTCCCCTTTTTTTCCCAACCATTTTCTCACTAAAGTATACTAAAGTCACTAAACAAAAACCCCAGCCCTGCCAACATCACAGGTGCCCAGTCGCCCCAGGATGGGTTTCACTTCGATGGCCACAACCTGAGCCTCCATGACTTCTCAGCCCAGCCCGAGCTCATCATGTTGTGGCTTCCGAGCTGCTACCCATTGGCTCATCGTGCTGTGTTGAGTCAAACTGTGAAGGTCTGTGATGTTTAACATTTTGGATGGTAGAACAAAAAGAAGGCCCTCCAATCAGTCATGAGTCGTGTGTTATCATTTTTTTCTGCTCCTAAATTCTGACATGATGAATGTTTAATGATTCGTGCTAATGTTACTCGAAAAAACGGTGACTTTTGCTCCTGCAGGCCATGTGCACCCACCTGCAGATCCATGATATGGCAGCTGGGAACCTACCTGCCAAGCCTTTTCTTTGCAGCACGCATGCATAAGTGATCTGTCATCCTTTGCTGGTTGGTGGCTTTAACATACTTTAGCCATCTTCAACCCATCTCAGGAGGTGTTGGTCATCGGGCATCATCCAAGGGATGCCCTGGCCTGCAGATCGGCGCGCGTAACCTCCGAGGTGACCTGCCACAAGGATCCACAAGGGGCATGATTTTCCGGTGTGAATGGATGGGTGGAAGGGAAAATCTACAAGAACCATTTGGTTTTACCGTACCCCAAACTATAGCGGCTTTCCTGTAAATCTTCCCATCCAATTCTGGGATGGTGTGACATATTCGCATTCCTAATTCAACATGATGCCTAAAAAATGGCACTGCTAACAGTTACATCCATTCTAGAGACCTTATCATTGGGCTTCCCAGACCTGACACTCCGCACGCCCCTTTTTCTTCTAAGGAGCGACCGGGGGCGTGGCGACCAAGTTCTGTCGACAATGGCCCAAGTGCCATATGATGCTGTGCACCCACCGGTGGCTTTCGAAGTTTCTTCGTGTCTTGAAACACCTAGCTGTTTTAACTTATTGTTTTGACATGTTTCAAAGTCCATCAAAATCCATAAAAATCCATAGAAATCCCAAGGTTTCTGTACATCTGTTGCCTTGGGAGTCCTTCCATCCCCTTAGGAACTAAGCTTCAAATGGTTGGGCGGTTGCCCCCGGACGCCGGGACAAATCTCCTGTAGCTTGGCCTGGGTGGACAAAGAATCGGTCCAATAAAACAGAATGATTAGATACCCTCTGGTTATTTAACATAGCCATGGAAAATGGCCCATTTATAGATGATTGTCCCATTAAAACCTCCAATAAATGCAAATTGTATCAAATTGTTATACCCGTGTCTGTGTACTGTGTATATATATATATATGTCTGTACAGTATATGTGTGTATATATATATATTAGTATATATTAATCGTTTGTGTGTATATATCGTTTGTGTGTGTACATATATTCTCCGCCCATCATCGCCAGTGAAATCACGTTCGTGCTGTGGATGCTGGCATCTGCCAAGTTGACCCTGAGCTTCGGGCGGCTGGCACCACAAACAAGGACCCGGCTAACCTCAGAAGTCACAGATCCAAACCGTCCTTTCGAGGAATAAGTAATAAGATGTAGTAAGTACCCCCCTCCTCTCGCCAAAGTGTTTTGGATCATTTCGAAAATCTGGGCGTTGATCCATGGCCCGACTTAGGTCGGTTTAGGATATCCCTTTGGGTCTCCTAAAAATCCGAAAAAAACAAGCCATGCCCAGCACGAAAACCACCGAGCCACGGAAAGTCCTTGCCCTTCGCTTCATCGAAGCCTTCCCGGGCCGTGGTGAGGTACAAATCCTGCAGATCTTCACCGCCAAAGGCAGCAGAAGTCACCTCACGGGGGCCGCCTGGAGAAGGATGAAATACATTGAAATACGATTAAGATATGATTGAAATATGAGTCTAGTTAGTAAGATATCAGTATATCATATCATTTTCGCATATTTCGAAGAGGAGGGAGTTGAATTTGAAGGTATTCCATCTTAAGCTTAAGACGAAACACAGAGGATTGTGAGTACAGGCACATGGCAACACTTCAAAATCATTGATTTTACGCACGACCGATCAACCCCAAAGTCACGCAACAAGATGCAGGGGCCGTGACACCGAGGCCCACATGATGTTCAATTTTGACGATGTCAACTTGCAGGTTATTGGCACAGGCGCGCTGACCCACATGGGGGCAAATGTGTGTCTCGTTAACGTAACACACCCAATCATAAACCCGACACAGGCATGCTTTGCACTATAGTCTGCAACATGGTGAAAGTAGTTCTAATGGTTCTGGTTTACGATTGGTTTTAAGGAATGCCACCCTCCGGTACAATGGAAAATCTCCAGTGTATCGATGATTCTCCTATTGAAATTCCCATCTAGTTTAGGGATCTTCCAGCCAGCTATGTTTGTTAAGGGAGGGTACGAGTACTCCCAAGGTGCCCCTGCGCCTGCCGCCCTGCTTCCTTTGGCACTCGCACTTCTGCCAGCATCTTGCCTGTCTTGGGGTCATAGCAGCCGCAGGCCCCACCGTTGAAACGGGCCACCCACAGGCGGTCCTGTGACAGCTGCAGCCCAAATACAAGAGATGTGGGATGTTTCATCTACTTCACGTTGGCTTCTACGTCTCTATCAACGTATGTGTAACATTGTGTAACTAGACCCACATGTAGCGTTAGCGCGTGTTAGCACCTACACATGAACATCTACATTGCTTTCAAGCAGAACCCCCAGACCACTCCTCAAGGTCAATTGCACACCTGACGTCGAAACAGGGTTTTTTGTCCCAGTTCCAATGGCGCAAGAGGACCCCCATTGGACCAACATCTGAGCACAGCAATCTTTGTAGAGTTTCTGCTGATTCTGCTGATGATTTCACCCCAAACTTTGGGCCAAAGTTTTACCCCTCTTCCCATCTCTTCCCCATAGGCGAGCGACCCATCCGGAAAGCCGGTGGTCTCGAAGTCAAAGCCCTTCACCACAGCACGGCGGTTGGAGACCTCGCCAGCGGTGAAATCCATGGCGTCGATTTGGGCCGAAGGGGTGTCGATGTAGTACATGGTTTGCCCATCCTTGGCATGGGGAGTATCATGAGGATTTTACAGGATTTTATGGGGATATAGAGGGACAGGGAGATCTCCAAAAACCACACAGGTTGTGGATGCAACCAGCTCTGGAGTGACGCTGATGGAGACCTGACCTTGAGGCCTGGTTTAGATGATTTTCATCACATGCAGGCGAGTAGCCCATGAGGACCAAGCACCCCATGGCTGACACCACAGGAGTTCCTTTCCCCTCAATAGGATGCCAAAGATAGAAAAAAATCAGGAGGCAACGCCCTCTCCAAACCCCTTGTGGATACCTTATGGCTGGTGGATCAACTGGCCATACCCGACCCAATTCATCACAAGGGCCTGCCGATTTCATTCGAGGATCCTTGCTCCAAACCAAGCCTCGACATACGAATGACGGTTGCGTTCGCAGGGCCTAGTCGCTACATCCCCCCACAACGACTTGGTCTCCCAACCTATCTCTCCCCCAAAACAAAACGCGTTTGGGGAAACAGAGGTAGCAACTGTTTTTTGCAAGGGGGTTGTTTGAATGAGTGATGGTGAGATATCATGGAAAAGCAACTGTTTGCCTCAGCTATGAGCCGGTCTTCGCGATTTGGGGTAGGTGAGGTGTTTTAAATTGAATTCTTGGGCCAGGTTTCCCACTTTATATAACCCCCCCGAAGCAAGGCCCTGTCCAAACAAAACCTTATTTCACAGTATTTTGCCCCATTATATAATCTACACCACATTAGCGTAGATGTGGAAAATCAAACCATAGCCTTCCATGGCTACCTCCATTAAGAATAAGGATGATTTACAGCAAAGAATAGAAGCCAACAATTGCCAATCAGAATAAGAACAATAATAGTCAATACAAATAATCGCGATTAACAGTCAGTAATATGAATAACAATCAGAAAGGCAGAAAAAAAACAACAATCAGCAAAAAATGATAGTCATCCATCAAAAGAACAATAATAAATTAGAAATCACCAAGAATTAGCCAAGAATTCATAATCCCAGGCACCATTGGAGATACTCAGCTCCTCCATGACCATCTTCACCGCGCCGTCCCCACTACGTCGGTAGAGCTTCGCCGCCTTCGGCACAATCTCTTCGGAGGCATCACGGCACAAAGTGCCGGCCCAGTAGCAGCCCAGGGGGTCCACCTTGCCGTCGTTGAAGCGTTCGCCTACACGACACGGCGTGCTTTGTTTTGACCGTTTTTTTGGCATATGGAGATATACAGTCATATGAATTATTGTTTTATATATATATATATTTATTTATTTATTTAAAAAAAACTCATATGATATCACTGCATTTATTTTTTTACAAGCCGTTTCGTGGGGTTATGAATTCATTCCATCAAGAAACATGGAGACGCTTGGACAATCCGATCCCAACCTGATTAGAAAGAACGCATATTATAGGAGCCCAAAGTAAAATGAAGAGATCCACTAGTCAATCAGCATTTTGCATGTTTGCGGGAAATTAATTTGATTAGTTGATCTATGCATGTATTTGTATATATATATATATATATGAGTCCGGATCCCGGATCCCTGGCCCCCCCCCCATGGTATGGTCCCCCAAGCTCACGCTCTCGGGAACACGGGACACGGGACCATACATGCATGCATGCATGCATGCATGCATCCATCCATCCATCCATCCATCCGGATGCATCCATCCGGATGCATCCATCCATCCATACATACATACATCCATCCATACATACATACATACATACCAAGATACATACCAACATACATACCAACATACATACCAACATACCAACATACCAACATACCAACATACCACCACCACAGGCCACAGGGGGGGGACCAGAAGAACCATACCACCACCACAGGCCACAGGGGGGGGGACCAGAAGAACCATACCACCATCCCAGGCCACAGGGGGGGGGGGCATGGGGGGGGAGGGGGGGGGGGGGCTTGGGATCTGGGTCACATATATATATAATATATAATATATAATATAATATGTATATATATATAGGTATTGATCTTTGGTGGGGCACCGGACATTCTCTTGAGCATGATATTTCCCATTTTGGGCTAGAAAATGGAATATCTTTACTGTAGGTTCGTTGCGTTTTCGGTGTCATTTCTCCATCAACATGGCTTTGAAAAAAAGGCCGTTGAGAAATTCAAAAACTGACATGGTGATGCATCTCTAGGGACATGCCTGTGGACATGGAAAAACAGATGTTGACGGCTTGGATCATCCTTCACATGCTCACGCATGTGGCATCCTCCACAAGCTTCCTTGGTGCAAGCGTCGCACAAGCCGGAAATCATCCTCTCACCCAGTTGAAAGTCAAGAAAGAAAACAGATATCACGAGAACAATAGGAGTTAATACATCGAAAAATGATACATAATGATAATGATAATAAAACATAGTAAATATAGTAATATAGTAATATAATAAAACGACGTCCCTTCCACAGGACCCACTCCGCCTTCCTTGACCCCTGGCTCTGGCACGCCCAGAAGGTCCAGTTGTTGGCTGCGGAAGTTGTACACTGCCTGTGGGAGGTACTGGGATGCACCACCAGAAGGAGATATCCATGGCTATTGGTTCATAGAATTGGATGATGGGAAAATTTACAGGAAAGCCCTATATTTGATGGTAAAAACCATGGTTTCCTGTAGATTTTCCCTTAAACCAATCCAATGATTGGTCTGAGTCTGATACTACCCGCAATTCAACAAGCCACAAAAAGCCACAAGTTGATTAGTCAGAAGCTTTTGGGCTCCTCAAAGATATCGATTTCCCATGCTGATTGAACATTGGCAAATATGGGCCCGCTTCCAGAGAGATACCAATGAACAATGGTGAAATCCCCCAGTTTTGATGGGTAAACGGGGTAGATCTTGGCCGAGTTTCAAACCCCTCTCGAGTGGTGAGCGCCACCGTATCTCCAGAGGCATCCTCTGCGATTGGCACCACCGAACTCACCTCTCGTGTCTGTGGGTGGTCACTCCAAGATGATCAACAGGGGGTTCAACAAGAGTAATACTGTAGAATGAATTTCACCAGGGAAATTTAGGATTTCAATGGAATTTCAGGATTTCAAATACTGTATGGAATTCAAATGGACTCCTTTTCACGACCACCACAAGAATGGGGATTGAACCGAGAGAACTTCCGGATTTGGTAGCAACAAAGATGTGGAATTCGTAGAGCTGATGGTTAGAGATGCGGATTCGGCCGACAGCCTAAAACAGTTTTACAAATATTCAGCTACATGTATAATTTTTAAATATGTTTATTCATTTGGTGTATCCATTTATTTACTCGTTGATCAATGTATCTATTGATTTGGAGATTACATGTTTTGCGCATTTATCAATGTATCTATTGATTTGGAGATTACATATTTTGTGCATTCTTTAAAAATATGTATGTATGGTATGTAATGTCACGCAATGTAATGTAATGTATGCATGTATAACAGTATAACATGTTCTACGTTAAGTACTGCATACTACATATAGATATATAATAATATATCAAACGCGGCCACGTCACTGCCGTTGAATGACTCGAAAGATCAAACTCTTCGTTCTGCCCAGTGCTTGGGTCAAAGCGAAAGAGCTTTGCACCTGGGCGACCGCAACATGTGGACTTGAGGAAAACATGCAGGAGGAAATGAAGGCCTCAAAATCCCAATCAACTCTGAGGCAAACCCAACGTCCTGGGTAGTTCGAACCGCATGAGGGTCTGGTAGGTGTTAGCCACTGAAACTGGAGTTATATAAAGTACCTTCCACCACTCCTCAATGTGGATACCCCTACTAGTATCAGCCAAAATATTATATCCATTGTCCAGCCCAAGTGCAATATACAGTAGTGTAGAAATATGATGCAGAGAGAGACAGAGAGAGAGAGAGATCTATATACTTATGTAGTTAATCCTATTGACATCATAAGTTATAACCACACATATGCATATAATATATATGTATATGTATATGCATATGCATATGCATATGCATATGTATATGTATATGTATGTGTATGTGTATGTGTATATGTGTATGCATGCATGCATGCATGCATGCATGCATGCATGCATGCATGCTTGCATCGATCTATCTATCAATCTATCTATCTATCTATCAATCTATCTATCTATCTATCTATCTATATCTATCTACCTACCTACCTATCTATCTATCTCTATCTCTATATCTATCTCTATCTATCTCTATCTATCTCTATCTATCTCTATCTATCTCTATCTATCTCTATCTATCTCTATCTATCTCTATCTATCTCTATCTATCTCTATCTATCTCTATCTATCTATCTATCTATTTATCTATCTATCTATCTCTATCTCTATCTATCTATCTATCTATCTATGCATCTATGCATGCATGCATGCATGTATGTCCAGTATTTATATGTATATGTATATGTATATGTATGTATATGTATATGTATATATACATATATGTATATGTGTGTGTGTTCGTGTGTATATATATATATGTGTATGTATATATATATGTGTATATATATATATGTGTGTGTGTATGTGTGTCAATGCAATGCAATGCAATGTAATGCAATGCACTGCAATGCAATGCAATGCACTGCAATGCAATGCAATTCAATGCATGTTTGAATTGCGCTAGGGACCGTTTTGCAACTAACACTCACACATGTATGTGTCTGTGTGTGTGCATATGGCATATCCTATGGATATTTACGATATGTAGATCCATAATGCAGCTCCAGTCATCTATACCAAAGCAATGCACCAACGAAAACGGACAAATGACAAAGCTACTTGCCCACCATCCCTGAAACGTAACTGCCGAGGGTCCAAGAATATCCAGCCATAGCAATTTCTTGGAACCTGGATCATGACATGGCCGCGGGGGCCGCGGGGGCTCAACACATGGGGAGAGTACCACAACTCTGGTCTGTTGTTTGGTCATTTCTGTCCAACCCAACTTTCATTCAATTTTGGAAGAGTATCTTGGAGCTGTATCGAGTCGGCGGGTCCTTGGCTCCACCTGTTGCGGCTTTCTTGACGTTTGACACGCTGTGACTCCCAATCAGCCCTTGGTTATCTTGGTTTTTCCGTTGGAACGCCAGAAAATGGCCCTCTCCACCAGAAATTTAACCGCTTTTCGGAAGCCATTTTCCCGGGCTTTCATCTCAGCTGGTTGGCAGTTTCCATATCAAATCAGCCCATCTCAGGTGGACGGGCAACGGCTGTCCCATAGAGAACCCTCTCCCAGTCCTTGGGCGATCGTGGCTGCTACCCCATGGGGGGTTCTTACGGAGGAACCACAAAACCAGAATGCGAAAAGGGTCAATAAAATGACTTGGATGATTTTTATATATTTTTATGGGGGTACCCCCATGACTATCATGACTTAGGAAACTTCCATATAGCACATCTGAACAGGAGGTCCAAAATAAAATGAAACTGCTGCATTCGGATGCATGTCAGCCTCGTGAATTTAAATGTCGATCAATCGCTGGATGATGACAAAATCTGTGCCATGAGGAGCTTGTGGCATTATTTCACGATCCTTCACTAGCATAGTCCAGCATAGTCGTACCCAAATAGATGGAGAAGTAACATCCTACCAAGTGATAAACTATTTTTCTATTGCATCTTTTTGGGGATTGCTATATGCGTTAGCGAGGAGTAGGAATCGTAAAGTGATTTAAATATTGCTCGGCCTCAATGAGGAGATCAATACCAGATCTGACTGGAGTGAAGTATGCTGTCTGCAAAACTCTGGTGCTCAAAATCAGGATGAACCTAGTGTTTTCCTACTCAAGCAGTGGCTGATTCGATTCCTACCCAAATCCCTGCCTGGGTAAGTGATTCGATGCTTTATTTGATTCCCTAAACTTTTTGGAAGGGCGGCCCAGGGGTGGGTTGTGCCACTGGAGGTGGCTGTCATTTCCGCAGTCACCAAGTGTGCATTTTGAGAAGGATGCTGCAGCAAGTCTATGCACATATTTGATTTTTGTGTGGATATGTGCATTTATATGCTTGTGTGCGTGTGTGCGTGCGCGTACGTATGTGTACCTATATCTATCTATCTATCTATCTATCTGTCTATGTCTATATCCATATCTATATCTATCTACATCTACATCTATATCTATCTTGATTTATTTAATGAATTCTTTATGTATCTATTTATGTGTGTTCATAGAATTTCCGACATAGAACTGCCGACGCCAAATTAACCTGCCACATTTCCATGATCCGTGAAATCCGTGGATGAACGTGGCTCGATTTCCCGATGCAACCCCCTGTCAGAGAAGGTCAGATCAAAATAAAACCTGAAACATCCAACACGTCGAAATATATGACAGCCTAGCGCCAGGAGGGCCACATTCCCCGAAACTTTGAATTTCTGTGCTTTCACGATCCCTGGTTCCCCCGAAAAATCACAAGAAAAGTATGGGCACAACTTCAGCTGAAGCAAAGCTGAAAGTGTCCCGCTTCCAACCGCACAGCAACTTCGGCTTCCACCGTGGGTACTTCCGCCATCATCCCGGGAGGGGGGGACAAAAAGAGGCAGACCCCGAACCAGTCGCACTTTAGACACGTGGCAAAATTTGAAAATTGTAGTTCCTGACTGTTCAAAAAGTCGTGCATGCGTTACATGCCCATTTGGCCATGATTTTGAACCACTTTCACTGCAGGTCGTCCCTCAGTTTGCATGCCGCATGCTGGCCACAAGCTCTGTCCCTAAGAAACTCCAGAAATGGATGGCCCTGGAAACATCAAAGCTCTCGAGCAACTGGTTCATTGCCCAACCGAAGTCTCAAGTTTGTCCGCTCCCAAACTGTGGACAAAAGTGGGCCATACCTGCCCCAAAAACTGTCAGAAATTGCCCAGCAATAAAGCCTAATGCTCAAGAACTTCGTCCAAGTCGGAGAAAGATCAGCCCTAAGCCGGAAAAATTGGACTTCTACGTTACCAAGAAAAATATTGGCCCTGGAATTGGTGATTTCTTTAGGGTAATGAATCCGCAAACCCTGGGCCAACCTTCGTTAGGAAGACTCGGCAGCCGCTCTGCACCGAGGCAGTCACCGTGGAGGGTGGAGGCCTGAAGGATTGCCCAAGCTGCGCAAGCAGAAAACGGGCCCAAGCTTAGCATGCCGGTATATATATATATGTGTGTGTGTGCATGTAATAAATGAAGTATTATCTATAGTTCTGTGTGTGTGTGTTGTGATTCCTGATTTGGAATCAGAATTTCTGATTTGGAACCAGACATTCCTTTTTTTCTCATTCCGATTTTGGAACCAGAAGTGTCTGATCTGATCATCATATGTGTTTGCCTTGGAATCTGAATGTCAGATTTCACATGGAAAAGAGTCTGGTTAGATGTCCTCATATGTTTCTGGTTTGGGAATCGTTTTTTTTTTATTATTTATTTGGAATTTAATAAAAACCGAAAATTCGTCCAAATCGGGTTGTTCTTATCATCATATTTGTCTGATTTGGAATTTCATATGAACGGCCTAAGCAGATTCAATAAAATATAGTTTTTTCTGTTCAACCTGACTGCAGGATGCTTGAGGTGTCGTTGATGGATCATGTGGTTTAAAAATTCATCATACAATAATGTGTAGTGTGCCAAGAATGGCATTGAAGGGCAGGAGTACGTAGGGTGTGTCAATTGCCATTTTCATGTGTCATTCTGGCGTCCGACCAATGGATCAAAACAAAAGGTTCCGCGGAATGCGCCAAAGCCAATACCCTTTCTCTGGATGAGATGGTCACATGATAAGATTTTTTGCCAATAATAAGTGTTCAAAAGTCTCGCTTGGCCAAAATAAGTCGACCAACAAACACGTCGGATTTTTCAAACCATACCTCAAAACACATATCGAGGGTCCAGTGATCGCAAATTCTGATTCCAGCCCGCGCGGGAAATTCAATAGTTTCGTACTGATGCGGGCTTACATTGCGAGATTAATGCATAGATTGTTGTACCTCGTCACGCCATAACTGCCATTCTGTGTTCATGCCTATTTTTGGACTGTATGCGTGATGTGTGCATTCAAGATAGCGTAGCAAACCCAACAATAAACATCAATAAACCATCCGCAATCGAGGTTCATTATCGGGTGTACACCTATTTTGGATCATGTAAAATGACCCCCCATCGGTTGCTTAATGGGATGGTTTGTCATTGAGTTTACCACTGTCACTGACTATTAAAGGACGCGTTTGGCACAACGGCCCGAGAATCCGCACGCTCGAGGCGCTGCGATGTCCACCGAAATGGGGTAGCCTGCCATGGCCAGCAATGGCTGGATGTGAGGACCCAGAGTGTAGAAATGTGGGTAAACAATTTAGGTCAATAGCAACTTGTGAGGTAAAATTGGCAATAATGGCAACTGGCAAATAATGTAGAAATATTGTTGTGAAAAGTGATTGTGGCTTGGGGGAGCTTTCCATCGAGCAACTTCAGTTTGTGCCAAGCAAAAACATCTAAACGGCTGTTGCAGGAGCACTTGACGTGGCAACATTTCAACAATCACACTCAGCAGCTTTGAACTTCATAATCACCCCATGGAAATACCGAAGTGGCACTTTTCCATGGGGTCATACTCAGCTGCAAATATAAGTCGATAATCATCCAGGCCTAAAATATCCCTGAATTTCACCTGTTTCATGATTTGTTTTGGAGACCGTTGGATATTCACTAGCTGAATCCATCTATATATATATATATAGTTATTTATTTAATTTATTTATGTATTTATATAGTTATATTCCACTCCGGGATTGTGTGCATCTATCTTCAGTATGTCAAGCCATATTGTGGACTTCAAGGACCATCCCACCTTGCACTTCGTGCGGGCCATGTGCCATCGCCCGTTGAATCCCCGATGCATCGGTCTCGGCACCGGATCCAGGGAATCCAGGGTTTATTCATCCCGGACATTACCCTCTGGTAATTTAACATAGCTATTGAAAATGGCCATTCATAGTGGATTTTCCCACTAAAAATTGTGATTTTCAATAGCTATGTTAGTTTACCAGATGGTACCAATGAAAACTGCTACTCTGCTACTGTACCTGGAGAATCATCCCACCTAGTAAGTGGATAGATGTGGATAGTAACATTGGTTAGTCAGTTCCCTCTGTCGCCTTGCAAGTAGGGTTGATGTCATTTTCCAGATTGGATTTGGCATGATTTAGCCCTGTCTCCGACCTTCATGGCACTGGGTTCCGTCGCATAACTAACAAAGCAAATGCTCTTGTGTCCACCTGAGAGCCAGGGGTGAGCCAGGGGTGAGCCAGGGGTGAGCCAGGGGTGAGCCAGGGGTGAGCCAGGGGTGAAAGGACATGCTTAAAGACTTGAAAGAGCGGAAGGAATATATAAACATGTTACATTGGTGGCCAGTTGGATTGAGAATCTTGGTGATATTCCAAGTTTTTTATTTGTGATGCATGTACAATGGAACACCGATGACAACGTTGCTCGAAGGGCTCCCGGCCACCGCCAGGGGCAGAGGGCAAGTAGACATCTGTCAGCTCGCCAAACCTGAGCCAAAGAGTTATCCAGTTACCCAACACTCTTGAGGCACAGCCAGGGGAGAGCACTAAATCCGATCCTGTTGATTCATTTACGTTGGCTCTTTGCTAAAAAACCTTGGTGTTCCAGCTTCAACGGCCCTCAAAACCCTCTCAAGGTGCAATATATAAACCATTCAATGCAACACCAGGCACCATCACCACTGAGCTTCCCCGGCTGGGCGAAGTGCGCCCGCAGTTCGGCTTGGCCCAGTAGCTGGGGCACCTAAGGCTTCCATGTGGCAGTGGCACAGCTGGTGGCCCATCATAGGTGGTCAAGAACCCCAACAAATACATGTGGTTGTCACCCACCCTTGATCTTTGAAACAAGACCGCGATTGGCACTACCCATGACCAGAAGGTGTTGAATGGTCTGCACCCTTGGTCTAATGGTCTGCACCCTTGGTCTATATTCATAATCTCCCGATCATGCATTCATAATCCCAAATATATCCAAAAATTTGATTTGAAACTATGAAATTGTTGGCTTCCCCACAATTTCATAATCATTTTTTGAGTGACTGGTCTGCCATGGTTGCTATTTCCAGAACAGCAACCCCGCCTTCGAGACGAAGAGTCTGTCTCTTTCGGCCTGGTGTTTCGTGGCCAGACAGGGGTTGGAAGATTAGTTTCCACTAAAGATGGGTGTTTTTCAGGGTCTATGTTAATTTACTGGAGGGTGATCTATCTATCCTCTTATCTTATCTTCCTCATCTACTTTAATCTCATCTAATCTAAACCAATCTGATATCATTTAATCTAATCTCACTGAATCCAATCCAATCTACATCACAATCCAATCTATCGATCTATCAATCTATGCATCTATTTATCAAATCTCTATCACCCTATATTCATCCATTAATCTATCAATCAATCTATGACACCCATGGGCACCCCCACGTGTCGCCCCGGCACTGTCGCCGGCGGTGGCGCCGGCACGTCGGTGCCGAAGCCCAGCATCGGCGCGGCGCCATCGGCAGGGACGCCCGAAAGCACGGGTCCTGTGGCGGCCACCTGTTGGATCCTGGTTGGTTGAATTAACAAGACAAATGGATATAAATGGTAGTATTGTTTAACCATCAACAGTAATCATCAACCATTGATGCTAGTATTGTTTAACCATCACTAGTAATCATCAACCATTAATGGTAGTATTGTTTAACCATCAGTAATCATCAACCATTAATGGTAGTATTGTTTAACCATCAGTAATCATCAACCATTAATGGTAGTATTGTTTAACCATCAGTAATCATCAACCATTAATGGTAGTATTGTTTAACCATAGTAATCATCAACCATTAATGGTAGTATTGTTTAACCCTCAGGTAATCATCAACCATTAATGGCAGTATTGTTTAACCATCAGTAATCATCAACCATTAATGGTAGTATTGTTTAACCATCAACAGTAATCATCAACATTAATGGTAGTATTGTTTAACCATCAGTAATCATCAACCATTAATGGTAGTATTGTTTAACCATCAGTAATCATCAACCATTAATGGTAGTATTGTTTAACCATCAGTAATCATCAACCATTAATGGTAGTATTGTTTAACCATCAACAGTAATCATCAACCATTAATGGTAGTATTGTTTAACCATCAACAGTAATCATCAACCATTAATGGTAGTATTGTTTAACCATCAACAGTAATCATCAACCATGGTAATGTAGTCCTGTATTGTTTAACCATCAGTAATCATCAACCATTAATGGTAGTATTGTTTAACCATCAGTAATCATCAACCATTAATGGTAGTATTGTTTAACCATCAACAGTAATCATCAACCATTAATGGTAGTATTGTTTAACCATCAACAGTAATCATCAACCATTAATGGTAGTATTGTTTAACCATCAACAGTAATCATCAACCATTAATGGTAGTATTGTTTAACCATCAACAGTAATCATCAACCATTAATGGTAGTATTGTTTAACCATCAACAGTAATCATCAACCATTAATGGTAGTATTGTTTAACCATCAACAGTAATCATCAACCATTAATGGTAGTATTGTTTAACCATCAGTAATCATCAACCATTAATGGTAGTATTGTTTAACCATCAGTAATCATCAACCATTAATGGTAGTATTGTTTAACCATCAGTAATCATCAACCATTAATGGTAGTATTGTTTAACCATCAACAGTAATCATCAACCATTAATGGTAGTATTGTTTAACCATCAACAGTAATCATCAACCATTAATGGTAGTATTGTTTAACCATCAGTAATCATCAACCATTAATGGTAGTATTGTTTAACCATCAGTAATCATCAACCATTAATGGTAGTATTGTTTAACCATCAACAGTAATCATCAACCATTGATAGATATTGATAGTATTATCAATTATTGTTAAATCATGAACCATAATGATAATCATAACCTGGTTGGTTATCAGTTTATTAATGATAATGATAATAGTAGTACACCCACTTTAATATCAATGGATTGGTGTAAATGGATCATCCCAAAAAAATCTGGCATAATGTGGTCAACCCAAGAATAAACCATCCCCAATATCGCCCATTTTTATGGGTGCTATAAATCATCCCCATTTGTGGCAGGTTGGCATTGAGTTTCCCAGAAAACCAGGGATTCAACAACGATTAATACCTAGGGATCTTGAGCATCAAGAGATGGGGTTAGAAAACTACCCGATGTATTGGAGAGCATCAGAATCTATGAATATGATATCTATGAGCTGGGAATCCCGTTCTGAACCAGGATTAAATATATTGAATGGAATGACGGAGGGTTTCGAACACTGCTCAAGTGATCTTGATACCAGTTCACACAATGGGCCACTGGTTGATGCCCTTTCCTATAGTTGGGGGAACCCAGAGCGCCCCAGAAGAAGTGGTGCTTGCAGCTTAGAAAAAGCATTCGAGGCATGAACAGGAAACTTCCCTGGGATTGCTTGGAAAATGCTGTGGCGAAAATTGCTACCCACTGAGAAATATGACGGAAGGATGATTCCACAAGTTTGCGGTCGAGTCACCTGGCTGAGTCATTGCCTCGGAAGCGATGGCAGGTGTTCAACTGCACCCGCGGAAGCCATTCCATTCGTCTTCACGCAGGTATGGGTGGTTTTATCTCAGCTCCCTGGTGCTCAAATCCTGTCTGGAATGTTTCAGCCCTCATGTTCCCATTTCTGTGTGCGAAATGCGTCATTTTATCGGCTTAGTCGTATAAAAGCACGAATTTCTTGGAAATTTCACCAGGTCAAAGGCATGGACCCCGTCAGGCTGGCTCGCTGCTACCTTTTCATCCTGGCGACATGGCTAGGCGCATGCTGTCCCACTCAACATCACCAGAAGCGGTGTTTCCCTGAAGCTTGAAATTTATATAACCCATCCTACAAAAGAGACGGAGACGGGGGAGGGAGAGAGAGAGAGAGAGAGTGCTTCAATTCATTTGATGAAAAGGGTCTCCGGCGGAACACACCCCAAGAAAAAAACACTGCCATCACACATCGAGCCCCTCCCCAGCTATGGGAGCAGGAGTTCACTGTCGGCTACCTCCTCGGCCATGCCAGCGCGCCGGCGCGCCGCGGGACACCGGCGCTGCCAACTGGTGGCCGACGCTTGAGCCCCGCGGAAGGCGGAAAGGTTCTCAACACAATTTCAATCTGTGCAAATGCCCCCATCGAATGCATGCGCAAAAATCCAGGACCTCCTGGGCTCTGCACCCACAAATGCCATCTTCACGTTTTGCTGCCCAAAGCTTTGCCATGGCTTGAAGTAAATGCGTAACTTGCACCACACGCCGAAGCCATGACACAGACATGCCGTTTGGCATTGGAAAAGTCATGTGGCTTGGGCGGCGAGGTCGGCTTCAAAGCAACTATGAAGAGCTCATTTGCGAAGTTCATACTCTGGGAGAATGACATAGGTGGGGGCAATTTGTGGGCTATGTGGACCCAACTTGCGGGACAATCAACAAAAACACCATGGTCTTGGTGAACTTGAAGGCTCTGCAGGTCAAGAGCCAGCAGCTTCACCCTCGACTGCCAAGGGTGGAAGATACTCGATGATGTCCAGTTTTTTCCTTGGAGAGATTGGGACCCAAGATTGTTGTGTCTTACACTCGCATCTGCATTGAGGAAGCCACAAGTATAGTATACATTTATGTTGCGATGTCACATCATATCACATCATATTGTATATGTAACATACATCATACGACACACATCATACATCAAATATCGTATACCATGTACCGTATGTTATCTTTTTATATGTCGTACATCATATATTGTATATCATTTGTCGCATATTATATACCATATATCACATCATATCACCCCATTTCACGTCACGTCATATCATATCGTTCATTTCATATCATGTCATATTGCATGTATGAAAGTATGTGTGTATAAGCATGCACGTATGTAATGCAATGAGGTGCGAGTATAGAATGGAATGCAATGAAAGGCAAGGCAAGGCAGCGCATTGCAATGTAATGTGTGTATATGTATATATGTTGTTATTATTATTATTATTATTATTATATATATATATATATCTGTGCGTGTGTTGGTTTTGTGCACATCTGATTGGATTCACTTGGGTGAGAACTCCCGGCCCCCCACAAAATCAATGAGATTGCTTCAGAAGTTTGAGCTTTCACCCCCAGCGCTTCGGGAGTGATATCCCCGAGAAAGTTACCACGCCGGACCCGCCGGAAGACAAAAAAATCCTCCAGGATCTTCCAGGACACATTTTTTCAGGGTGTTCGAGCCCTTCAATTTTTGGTGACAACGATGGCCCCAACCAGTTACCACCACCAAATATGTCTTCAATGCTTAAACTTCCCATGTCTGGGGTGAGCTGGGGCTGAAATGGGTTTGTCTTGAGGGACATCTCCAACATTGCAAATTAATTAATGATTCATAGCGTATCAAAACCCCTGGGATTTGAGGGTTCCAAGTTTGAGAAAACCCTCAAATAGGATTCGAACCAATTGACCATCCACCAGGCCAAGCTTCTCAAAACCATCGGCTTTTGACTCCAAGTTTTGCAAGTGCCGCTCAATCTGGTCCAAGCGTTCCGTTGTGAGATTCTCCTGATCTGCTGCTGGAGAACGGCGCGAAAAAAAAAAACGAGGCTCCAAAAATAGCACTGGTACTGACTGATACCATTGAATTTCAAGATTGCACATGCTCCACATCTCCAAATATGTCCACATTAGATGCTTTGGTTGCTGGAAACGGCTTGCTTCTGGATTCCACATCAGGCTCCAATTGTTGAGCATTGAATCTGATGAAATAACTTGACAGCGGCGGCATTGAGAAATTGACCCAGGCACGGAGCGCCAATCCTTTTAAAGACCTTGAACTTCCAGCTGGGACCTAACCAAATGATACCCCAACCCAAATCCAGGCTCTTATGACCTAAGTCATCCCAAATCCCATCTCAATCCCAACCCCCCAGACCCCACCATTTCTTTCCAAGTTTCTATCTCCGTCAACCACTCCTCCAGACTCTTCTGCGTCTGCGTCATCCGTGGGGCCACCGAGGCTCCACCGGAACCTTTCACCTTGTCGTAGGTCATGGAGACCTCTCGCGCTCCGCTGACCAGGAGAATGTGTGGGGAAACCCACTGAGATGAGCATTTGAATCCTACCCTCTGGTAGCAACTTTGGCATTGGTCATCTGCACCAAGCTACGCAAATTCTTCATCTCCCTTTTCTCCATCCAACATTTCAAGTGCCCCCATGCACCATGAAGCCCCTTTGCCAATGACAACGATGTGCCCCCATTACGTTATAATTAATTTCATGTATGTACAGGTATGTTGCATATCTATAACACTATCAAATGATGCCTTCTCAAAGCTCTTGGTAGCCATCAGCATGGATCTGGAGTCGCAGTCTCCTTTCAGCTTGGAAGCGTTTTTTTCAGTCAGCACATGGGTTTTCCCTAACAAAACGTCGTGTGTATTCCTAGGATCCCTGTGGTAATGGGTTTCCATAACCTCATACAGAAATGAATAGCTCGTGATCAGGTCGGGACCAGCCTTGAACCTGCACCATTCCTTTCAGAAACTCCTCCGTTGGCAAATGTGAGGATTGTGGGGGGCAAAGTTGGGGACACCTGCACCGGGACTCCCTTAAGGATTCAAATTTCGACGCCAAAAAATTGAAATGTTTTGAAAAATGTCCCGTGATGGTGATGCAGTAGTGTGATCTTAGTGAGAGCGCGCATCAAATAATGGACTTTGAGTGATCGGTAAATTTTACTCGTACCCATATTTCGAGATGTCATGCAAAGCAAATAACACCAAACTTCTGTGAATGCTTTGCATGACAAAAGTCAGTCCAAAAGTCCCAAAAGTCAGTCCCAAAAGCAGTGAATCTCTGTCCCAAAAGTTAGTCCAAAATGACCTTTTACTGCTTTGCAGTAATGGCCTGGACACTCAGCTCGCCCTCGCCGTCGTTGTCCAAGACGCGGAAGAGTTGCTTCATCTCCTCCCGGTGAGAAAATGCCATAGGCGCGGCCACAGCCGCAATAATTAAATTTGCGTATGCATGTATATAGTGTATATATATATAGATAGATAGATAGATTAGATTAGATTAGATTAGATTAGATTCGATTCGATTAGATTAGATTAGATTAGATTAGATAGATAGATTCGATAGATAGATAGATTTCTTGCGAGTATATAATATATATATATATAATAGGCACCCATGACTTAGGACTTAGGTCACCATAGTGACATAGGAGTTTGTGCACCAAGTCCTAAGTCACTGGTGTTCTTACCAGGTGATTTGTGTGCAGCAAGTCCTAAGTCATTGGGGTTATGATTGGACTTAAGCACTTTTTCGGGTAAAATAAAAATAAAAAATCTTCTCTTGATAAGTCATCAGAACCTACATACTTACATTACATTACAGTACAGTAAATTACATCACACTACGGTACATTACATTACAATACAGTAAAGTACAGTACATTACACTACAGTACATTGCATTACATTATAACACATTACAGTACATTACATTACATACATGCACAGGACTTGGTGCACAAAATCGTCTGTCACTAGAGGGGCACAAGTCCTAAGTCATCAGAACCTACATACTTACAGTACATTGCAGTACAGTACAGTACATTACACTACAGTACATTACATTACCTTACAGTAAAGTACAGTACATTACATCACACTACAGTACATTACATTACAGTAAAGTGCAGTACATTACAGTAAAGCGCAGTACATTACATTACATTACGTTACATTACATTACATGACACTACGGTACATTACAGTACATAGATGCAAAGGACTTGGAAAGCGTCCGTCACCAGAGGGGCACAAGTCCTAAGTCATCAGAACGTACATACATATCTTACATTACATTACAATACAGTACATTACATCCCAATACATTTTTCAATATTTTTCAATTTATTTAACTGCTTGAAAATACTGTCTGTATATAAATCGAAGGAAAAAACCGTTGTGTTTCCCTATTGTGGTTCCCGTTGCACTACCCCGTTTTTGGGTCGAAGTCCTCGAGCCAATCGTTGAAAAAATGATGACTTAGGACTTGTGCCCATCTTCAAAAAATATTTCACAAAAATCTGTGATTTTCCATTTTTTCCTTCGATTTATATATAGAAAGTATTTTAAAGCAATTAAATAAATTGAAAAATATTTTTTTTTTTTTCACTTTTCATTTTTTTCTGTTGTTTCCCGTTTTGTTTCCCCGTTGTGCTTCCCTATTGTATTCCCCGTTGCACTACCCCGTCGTTGGGTCGAAGTCCTCGAGCCTGCCTTTCCGCCAACGCGTAAACGCGCGCGCGCGTTGGCAAGGCGGAGAGGCTGGCCCGAGGACTTCGACCCGGTTCCCCGAGATCCAGTGCCAGCTCTCAGCCGGAAACCACAACGGGGTGTTAACGGGGAAATGATGCAAAATGAGAAATGTCAAAAAAATGAAAATCACAGATTTTTGAAAACTAGAAAAAACTGTTTTTGTAACATAGTGAAATGCTAAAATTTGAGCATATCTATCTGAAAAAAAAACACAGATTTTTGTGAAATATTTTTTTTGAAGATGGGCACAAGTCCTAAGCCATCATTTTTTCAACGATTGGCTCGAGGACTTCGACCCAACGACGGGGTAGCGCAACGGGGACCACAATAGGGAAGCACAATGGGGAAACAAAACGGGAAACAACAGAGAAAAATGAAAAGTGGAAAAAACAAATATTTATATTTTTCAATTTATTTAATTGCTTTAAAATACTCTCTGTATACAAATCGAAGGAAAAAATGGAAAATCACAGCTTTTTGTGAAATACTTTTTTTTGAAGATGGGCACAAGTCCTAAGTCATCATTTTTTCAACGATTGGCTCGAGGACTTCGACCCAAAAACGGGGTAGTGCAACGGGAACCACAATAGGGAAACACAACGGGAAGTGGTCCCCGTTGCACTCGTCGTTGGGTCGAAGTCCTCGAGCCAATCGTTGAAAAAATGATGACTTAGGACTTGTGCCCATCTTCAAAAAAAATATTTCACAAAAATCTGTGATTTTCCATTTTTTCCTTCGATTTATATACAGAAAGTATTTTAAAGCAATTAAATAAATTGCAAAATATATATATATATTTTTTTTTCACTTTTCATTTTTCTCTGTTGTTTCCCGTTTTGTTTCCCCGTTGTGCTTCCCTATTGCATTCCCCGTTGCACTACCCCGTCGTTGGGTCGAAGTCCTCGAGCCAATCGTTGAAAAAATGATGGCTTAGGACGTGTGCCCATCTTCAAAAAAAATATTTCACAAAAATCTGTGATTTTCCATTTTTTCCTTCGATTTATATACAGAAAGTATTTTAAAGCAATTAAATAAATTGAAAAATATAAATATTTTTTTTTTCACTTTTCATTTTTCTCTGTTGTTTCCCGTTTTGTTTCCCCGTTGTGCTTCCCTATTGTATTCCCCGTTGCACTACCCCGTCGTTGGGTCGAAGTCCTCGAGCCAATCGTTGAAAAAATGATGACTTAGGACTTGTGCCCATCTTCAAAAAAAATATGTCACAAAAATCTGTGATTTTCCATTTTTTCCTTCGATTTATATACAGAAAGTATTTTAAAGCAACTAAATAAATTGAAAAATATAAATATTTTTTTTTTCACTTTTCATTTTTCTCTGTTGTTTCCCGTTTTGTTTCCCCGTTGCGCTTCCCTATTGTATTCCCCGTTGCACTACCCCGTCGTTGGGTCGAAGTCCTCGAGCCAATCGTTGAAAAAATGATGACTTAGGACTTGTGCCCATCTTCCAAAAAAATATTTCACAAAAATCTGTGATTTTCCATTTTTTCCTTCGATTTATATACAGAAAGTATTTTAAAGCAATTAAATAAATTGAAAAATATAAAAAAAAAAATCACTTTTCATTTTTCTCTGTTGTTTCCCGTTTTGTTTCCCCGTTGCGCTTCCCTATTGTATTCCCCGTTGCACTACCCCGTCGTTGGGTCGAAGTCCTCGAGCCAATAGTGAAATGTTAAAATTTGAGCATATCTATCTGAAAAAAACACAGATTTTTGTGAAATATTTTTTTTGAAGATGGGCACAAGTCCTAAGTCATCATTTTTTCAACGATTGGCTCGAGGACTTCGACCCAACGACGGGGTAGTGCAACGGGGAATACAATAGGGAAGCACAACGGGGAAACAAAACGGGAAACAACAGAGAAAAATGAAAAGTGAAAAAAACATATTTATATTTTTCAATTTATTTAATTGCTTTAAAATACTTTCTGTATATAAATCGAAGGAAAAAATGGAAAATCACAGATTTTTGTGAAATATTTTTTTTGAGGATGGGCACAAGTCCTAAGTCATCATTTTTTCAACGATTGGCTCGAGGACTTCGACCCAAAAACGGGGTAGTGCAACGGGAAACACACACGGGAAGCCAAATAGCTGCAGCGCACGAGCGTGATGACTTAGGATCATCTTAGTATACTTCTGCTAGTTAATTCCTATGTCATCCTGGTTTTACGAGTGGTCCATGCCGCAAAAAAAAAACCTAGCATAGTTTCTAATCTCATACGGACACCTGATGAGTTAGGACTTGTGCAGGGGGGGTCTGAAGCATGATGAGATAGGACTTGCCCACCCCAGGGTATCTTTCACAAGTCCTAAGTCACTGGTACCTAATATATATATATGGTGCAGCGTTGGTCACCCCCCCCCAACCAATGGGTATGGGTGGACAGTATCGTCTGGTTCTTCTGGTCCCCCCCCCTGTGGCCTGTGGTGCTGGTGGTGGGGTGGTGGTATGTATGTATGTATGTATGTATGTATGTATGTATGTATGTATGTATGTATGTATGTATGTATGTATGTATGTATGTATGTATGTGTGTGTGTCTGTATGCATGCATGCATGCATGCATGCATGTGTGTGTGTGTATGTATGCATGTATGCATGTATGCATGCATGCATGTATGTGTGTGTGTCTGTATGTATGCATGTATGCATGCATGCATGTATATGTGTGTGTGTCTGTATGTATGCATGTGTGTGTATGTATGCATGCATGCATGCATGTATGTATATATGTATGTATGTATGTATGTATGTATGTGTTCCCGAATAGAATTGAAAATGACAGAAACGGAACAAAGCAACTGCATCGGTCAGTCAGCACCTTTTGTTATGCAGTTGGCTTTGCGGCTGTGTTTCTGTCAGATGCCAATCGCATCAATCACAAATGGTTTCACAGAAACTCTGAACTGCAGTGGTGGTGTCACACGTCAAAATCCACCCAACCCGCCGGAGCGTGAAGCTCGCGCAAGTAAGGAAAGGAAAAAGAGGGTTGTAGGTGGGAAAACACCACTGTACACCATAAAGTCAGCCGCAACCACCTGGCTCCCGAAGGACCTTAGGTGGCGTGAGAGTCGGTCTTACGACGTTTTGAATTTCCTGAAAAGGTGGGGACACTCATCTGGTCATCCAGAAGGGCCCAGAGAAATTTAAAATGGGAAAAAGCTTCACTCACTGGTAGTCGTCGATCAGGATGAAAACCAGTGAAGTTTGGGTGGGTGAGTTCGTCCGCCCACTTGTTGTAGTCCCGCTTCATGTGTGAAGGCGCCAATTGAACCCCATCAACATAGAGCATGGCGATGAGCTGCATTAGGAAAGCTGAGGTAGGCATGTGCTTCGTCTTCTGGTTCAACAGGGCAAAGACATTGCCTTGATTGTCTGAAATGAGGCTGAGACGGGTACGAAGCAGAGATTTCCCACCCAAAGCCAGAAGGAAGTGGGTAAGAATCAATGTACCAAACATCTCGAGGGTCGCAATGCGTCTGGTTGGATCACCATCCTTGTGAGCCCATGGATGGTCTTCGAGGGGTATCTTGTAATGGAACCACCAGGTCTGTTCCTTTGATGGGTTCTCACAATCTGCAATCCACCCCCCAATGTAGGCCCCATCGTCCGGGTGTGCACTAGCATCACTGGCACCCCA